TGTTCCGTTCGGTAGGCCTATATAAAATTATAATACTGCTAATATATTGGTGGCTAAAATCACTGCCAAAAATGTATTATTACAATAAAATTTTTTACTTAATACTTAATTAATACTTCATAAATGCCTAGTTTTGAATAACGTTTTGATTATTAAAGCATTTATTGTTAATTTCTGGATAAAACATTGTTTATTTAAAAAACTAAGTTATTATAAATATAAATCCATATTACTAACATCTTTATGAAAAAAAAATTACAAACCTTTAATAAGGTTCATTGGTTTTTGGTAGCTAGAACAAAAATCTTTGTCACACTAAGTAATTAAGAGAACATTTAATTGACATTTGATTCAGTAAAATTTTTTATTACTTTTTAAGTGATCACAAGTTTTTACTAACTGTGACCAAAGCCTTGATTTTCTGAATTGCAAGGTAGATTGAATTCCTTGCCAAATGTTCCAAACAATATTTAATGACTAAGTTAAGCATTAGAGCAGATTGGTTGTAGTAGATTATTTTGTAGAAAACCATTCATGTAGCAAAAGTAGAATAATTCAATATCTTATATATTTAATATATATCTTATATATTTCATATATACCTTATATATTTAATAACATTTTACATAAAAAAAAAACCTCAAGGAGAAGAATTACATCAAAACATGAATTTATGAGCATTTTGGAAGACTCAAGTAATAATATGTATTGTAGATTATAATATATATCTAATCTAACATGAAAATGCATGTTTAAAACTTAATATGCATAGGTCAGTATTTATCTACTCCTTTTACAACGAATTTATCAAGTTATTAAATAAAAAAGCTGAATACAATAATTGGGAATGCAATTTTTTTTTTACTGAAATTTTGAGATTTCCAAAGTAAAACTTTATCAGATTTAATAATATTGAAACGATTTAACAGATTATGAGATAAGTTTAATAAAAAGGCTCTTTCTTCAGTTTGGCTAACAAGTCATAAGTTGATAGTAATTTTTGCCAATGTATAAATAAAAATATGGCTGCATCTAAATTTTTTCAAACCAATTTTTTTTGTTCTGTTTAATGTACCAATAAGAGTAATACATATAAGTTACTACCAAGAGCAAATGAAGAAACAAAACTTAAGATTAATAATATTTACAACATGCAATGGCATGTTTATTATACTTGTGATGCATTTAGATTTCCTTACAATATAAAAAAAAAAATTATGTATCCATCAACTTTTTTAAATCTTATTTTCTGAACTAAAAATAATATTTAATGGATCAATTAAGAGTTTCTTTTTCTAATAAAATACTAAAAGCTGCAGTTTGCCTTTTATAACAATATAATGTATGATCACACAACACCATAAATAAAGATAAGTTGGAACTTTTGGCACTAATTTTCTCATGAACATAAAGAAGTGCGTATTTGGTTATTATTTTAAATCTGTACCTTTTAATTTTAGGGACACTTTCAGGGAAAACAAAACCTTAAAGGGAGTGAAAAAACTAAAAACAAATATTATAATTTCAAGTAAGCAAAACAATAATTTTCTCAAGACATACTTCTTAAAATTAAAAAAATGTATAACATATTAGAAATAATTAATAAATAGACAAGGAAAATATTTTATTCAAAAATATTAATAGTAATTGATCAACTATTGAAGCATTTTGTTTTCCGAAGTAAACAAATCATAATTAAATATGGAAAATTTTTTAACATTGGTACAATGGAACAACAATGTTCATTATGAAAGTTTAATATTAGTCAATAGTTCCAACTTTAAGAAACAAACTTCAAAACCAACGATTATATTTCCACACAAAATTTCAAGTTAGTAAATATACAATGACAGCATTTACAAGGATAAGTTTAAATGAATAGTTTGTTTACTTTAAATGTAAACAAAATGGAACATATGAACAATAAGTTAATGAAAATGTATGTATTCAGATTAATTGCATTAACAAAATTACTGCATATATTTATGCATAAGTTAATTACCTAATTTTCAAGTTGTAAAATGTAAAATATGCTATAAAAAAAGCATAATAGTAAGCATTTAGAAATAAGAAAGCTAAATAAATTGTAAAAGTTACATAAATTAAATACTCTTTGGTCAGACATCAGACTCTTTGGTCAGAAATATAAAAAATCAAGTACATTAGACTAGATCATCCTTTTTTGTTACATTGATAAATTCTACATTTTTAGCAGCAAAATTTAACTGAAGCATAAGCTGACCTCGTAGTTTTTGGTTTTACATGCAAGTCAAATTCTTTTTTTAAAAATTTACACACAATTTTATACGGTCTATTAATTGCATTTAATGACAGTTATGTGATGGCTATACAAAATGGAATGAAAAATTTAACTAGAAAGCTGCGAAAAATACTACAATATTCAACATGATAAAACAATGAACAATCATTTAAGATGTTTTAAAGAGTGGATGTACACAAAGATGCAATCAACACATACTCAAATTTAAAAAAAAAAGTTATCACAGGAATCATGAATAAAATTACACATAGAGGAAAATTATACTTGACTAAGTTATTACCATAAGAATGACTCGATTATCAAAGATAAATAATTTCAAAAATAGTTAACATAAGCATTAGCAAAAAAATATCAAACGATTAAAATACTAGACTAAAAAGTAAATAATCAAATTCAAGCTAATAGGCTGAAAACAAATAAGCATATTCCATAAAATGGCAGAACACAATAAGATCTCAAAACAAAATAGGGGAGCACCTCTTTTTCTTTTCTTTTCAGAAATATACATCATAATGCATTTTAACAGCAATCAAATAAATAATTAATTTCACATTAAACTTTTAAGTAGGCAACTAACAACAGTCAACAAGGTATAGTTTACAACAAATTCTGTGATGTAAAGCTTTGGCAGGAAATGTAATCGACGAGGAGTCTGCTTTGAATTATTTGCAATAATATTGAAAATTATGTACAAAACATGAGAAAGTGTCCCATTTCAATTATGAAGAAATGTACAAAAGTTATAGAATCTAAAATGCATAAATGAGGAGAATGACTAAAATTCCATCGAAATAATTCTCAAACTTTAAACTATACATGGGGGAAAATAGTTCTTGAAATAACTGTTATAAAAATATAGGGTATTTAAAAAAAAAAGGAGAAGAGATAATTGAAGCTTTATCACTCAAAACATATCGTATCATAGAAGGTGAAATTTGACAGCCAAATTTCTCAGATCATTAAAAAGAGAGCATAAAAATAAGTTAGTATTTATAAAATATATGAAGAAGTTAGTATTTTAATGTAAAATATAAGTTAGTTTAATGACTCAATATTTTATTTTTGCATTAAATAACTTCAAGATCCCCGCATAATTTCTTAGGAGAAGTATTAGGTTTTAAATTAAGGATTACTTTTTCCAAAATATTTAGCATTTCTTTTAACTTTAAACAAGCAATGTTCAAAATAGATGCTTTGTGTTATTTGATTTAATTTGATCTGGTAGTATTGTGATAAAGCTCCAAATTCTTAAGGTTATTTTTGAATTATGGTGAATTTTAGAGTAAAAAGAAATTTTCAGTTTCATTAACAAAGTGTATTTAAAACTTTTAGTGGCAGCCAAAATGTTTTAAACAAAAGCTTTTTTCTTAGAATTGAGCAATTTTTTGTTAGATTTGTTAAAAGTCATTTGTATATGACAATATTAAAAAGAATATATATATTTTGTATTACAGTAGATTTAAAATATCACTCTCAAGAACTTTACATTTAAAAGAATTTTGCCTTTAACATTTTAAAGTAATTTTTTTATTAAAGAGGAGTAAGAACTTTTTTTATTAAGATTTTTTTACTTCCAATATATTTTTATTTATACAAGTGTAAACAGATATATTTTTGATTAAGTATAGATGTTAAACAATTAATTTGTTACAAAATGCTTCAAATTAAACATAAATAACACCAAATTCTTCCACTACTTATTAATGTTAAATTAGCTTTAAAAATCCTATTTTTCTGATTTATGATATCAAAAGTTGAATTTTTGATGTATAAAAATGTTTGACAGTATTGATTAATCAATGAATTTGTAACACAATGTTATCTGAAATGAAAATATTTTATTATAATTATTTTGGCTTTTTAGTTGCTCAACCCTAAGACTCTATTATATTTTTAATATTAGATGGTTTATAAGCAAGGAGTTAAAACTAATCAACTTTATAAGAGGAATATTATCAGTATAAAACCATGCAAGACAAATAGATTTAAAGATAAGTAATAAAACTATCTTTAACATGCTTGAGTCAGTGCCAATTAAAATTAAGATTTTGTTTTATTTAAATTAATGCACCAAACTTTAATTTAATTAGTTAAACACACAATTTAAATAAATCCATCAGAAGCAAATAGAAAAAAAACAATTTCAAAAATTCGGAAAATTAAATTTCAAAGAAATTCATTGCACAAATATTAGAATAGAGAGAATTATTTAAGAATCGACTAATTTATAAGAATTTTAAACAACAAAAATATTTTAATATTTATAATAATATTAAATTATTTTTATTGTTTTAAACTAGTATATAAATTAATCTATTCTTTAGATAAATATAATGATTGAAATATTAGCTTGACTAGTAAAAAAGTTAGGTGAAGAAATAGTATTTAAGTACAGAGTTGTTAAAAGTAAACTGACATTACTCAGAGGCTCGTAGCACCTGTTCTACTGAATGGATCTGGATAAGATTTCAAATACATGTAGATCATGTGGTCGAGATTTCGTTTAAAAAACCCTGCTTGGAATCGATAGATGGTGCTGTATGGTTAACATCATATGTAAAAATTAATAGGGGATGTAATTTTTCTATAAAACCAATACATATTGTTTTAAAAAATTATTTGACGATATTTTGAACATGCTGCTCAACAAACAAGAATGTGCAATGATTATAAAATTCTTTTATCAGAATGAGAGCAACGCTTTAGCAGCACTCTGTACCTACCGGCAGATGAAAAACTTAAGGATGTTCAGAAAAGCAGGTAAAAAAATTATTCATAAGTTTCAGAAAATTGTTCCTCTGGATGCTATACAGAAAAGAGGACAATAGTTTCTGGTATTTTAATTTTCTTTGCTACAGCGCCATCGATGGGTAAAAATTTTGAGCTTTTTTTTTTATGGAATCCTTAACCGCATGGTTTATATAATGTGTATTTGAAGTTTCATCAGGATCCCTTCAGTAGAACCAGAGCTACAGGCCTCTGAGTACTATCAGTTTAATTTTAATCCTGCATATTTTTACAAGGAAAGTAACAATTGGAAACACATTACAATAAGAATTGGCACTGTTGATAATCTTCTTAGATACTATTTAGATACTCTCCTCATTCTATGCAATACACAAATTTTGGCTGTGTACATGTCATACTCAGTCATGTAATATGCAAATGTATATGTACTAAAATACATAGTAATTATTTACTCTCCTCAACAATAATAATAAGTCCTATTTTTCATAATCAACAAACACATCAACTTTAAGTGCATAGATCTTAGAACATTCTAAACATGTTGAGGCAATAAATTTTAATGCCTATGTGATAACTCTTATATCATTTTGCAACCTAGAAGTCTACAACAGTTATTGCTATAATAATTTGTGATTTAATATGGATCTGAATTAGACGTTTGTCTCTGGAATTATTCCAGCCGACGCCTTCTGACCGTTTTCCGGACTTATTATGCTTTGAGTTCCATTAGCAACTTGTTTAATAGACTCTGAACTTAATGATTCTATCACAGCTTTGTTTGAGACTTGATTTGGATCAGGAGCTGAACATTCATTCGGAGTTTGAGCATCATTTGTATCTCCACCAGCTAATTCACCAGTGGCTTTCAAATCTTCTTCGTGATTGACGGGTGATCCATTGCAAGGATTGTCCCTTGCAGCTTCAGCAGCAATTCTCTCTTCCTCTGCTTTTAAAGCAGCTTCTTTTTCTTCCTGGAGACGTTTTTGTTCCAAAGCAGCTTCTCTAGCTTTTTTCTCTTCCAGTTGCCTTTGCTTCTGTTGTTCTTGGAGAACTTTTGTGTGCGCTTGTTCTTTTTCTACATTTTGACGGCAACTTTCTCTCAGCTTGTAAATAAGAGCCTTTGGAAATGATCCAGGTACTCGAAATATGCTCTGATGGCAAAAAAAAAGTAAAAATCAGCCTCCTTAAAAGTGGGTTTTTATTTTACACAATAAGAATGCAGTAGACTCTTGCTTATTTATGAGTAAGTTACATTTAACATGACTCTAAGAAAATATATATTTAATGGTATAAGTGCTATAGTAAATAGAATTTTCAACTATATTAGAACAGAAAACATACTGTCCTACATTCCTATTTCCACAGAAGATTATGTTCCACAACACTTTTTTCACTTAATCTCATTTTTTTTGTTTTTGTTTCATGATATTTTGCTTGTAAGTTATTTTGACACGCAATATTTTAATATATTATCCTGCAGGAGCAAATTTTATTTATTTTTCAGAGTTTATTTTTTGATTAAAAAATAAATAAAATAGAATAAAAATAAAAACATTTTAACATATTAAACTATATGCCAGCGACATTTTATAACAATTTTGTAGATTATTTGTGGTTTTTCTTCATCTGAGATTGCCATGCTAACTGAAAGTTTACAGTAGATGAATGCTTATAAATAGGTAAATTTAAATAAATTCATCAAATATATGAAGAAATGTAATTTACAGGCTAAAATTTTGAGTTCCTAAGGCTTACATAGATGTTTTTGGTCAAGATTTGTTTTTAAAAATAATTTGTTCATTATGACAGATAAAATATTTAAAGTGTGAAAAAAATAAAAATTAATATTTAAAAATTATGGTAACATTTCGAATACTATATTTTCATTTGCATAGATAAGCAGTTATTAAGCATAAAAGTTAATAAATCATTTCGTTACCTTCAAGGCTGTTATCACTTAATGAATCAAGAATATCTACATTCACATTTTATTTAAAAAAATACTTTTTTGACAAACATTCATTTATTAATTAAGTTAGTTTTTGGCAAAAACAAACAAACATGTTTGTTTGGCAAAAACAAACAAACAGCTCTGTTACCTAAAAAGTTTCTTTCATTCAAAGATGAGAAAAGTCATAAAAATATAAAAAAAGACATTTCAAAACAAAGTTTAAGTAACAAATAATTTTGTAGAAAATTCTACAAGATTTGAAAATTATTTTTATCACATTCCTCACAAAAAGTATGATTGAAAAAAATATCTAAAAATAATTTCAATTCAAATTAAGTTTATTCACAGGTATTAAATTGCATATAATGTCTTGTCTTTGCCAATAAATTTAAAACATTTCAATAAAAGTATATGAGCAGTAAATGGGATATTGATCAATAGGTTCAATTGAAAATCTAATTTTTTCAAATAAACTATGCTCACATATGAATAAAATAAAAGTTCTTTAAATTCTACTTAAGTATTAAATAATTTTTTGAAACATGTTATTCATTTAAAATGCAAATATTCAACTAATATGAAGAAAAAAAAATATTCACAATAATTGATAATAAATTTATTTTAATTATGATAGCACTGTGAATGTAATATATTTGATGTATTGAAATAATTTTAAATTTTATACTTTTAATACATTTTAATTTTTTAAATGTAATCTTATTAATACTTTATTTGTAGGCATCTTATTATTTTTCTTCTTTACTTACATCACTATTTTAATTAATTAACTTTAAATAATTAATTATAATAACAGTGCACTAACCTGCATAAAAGTATGGCATTCTGTTACTGTAGCACCAAGTGGCAGTGATTTGAAAACTTCTGTGATTTCAACAAAATTTTTAGCAGCTAAAATTTTATCTTGGTTTTTCATTACAAGAGTAACTGCAACCCTAAGTAATATTTTTGAACCTTCATAAAACAAACAATCCCATATACGAAGTACAGTCTAGGAAAAGAAAAAAAACTATTACATTATCTTTAAACATATGCTTTATGCAAAAAAAAAAAAAAAAAAAAAAAAAAAAAAAAAAAAAAAAAANAAAAAAAAAAAAAAAAGCAATCACTCTAATAAACTATTTTTGATTGGTCAGTTACTTGTAAAATTTCATAAAAGTTATTATTAGCATTTATATCTGTACCATTAATGAAAAAAAGAGTTAATTTTCAACCACTTAATTAAAGTTTTAAAAATTCAAATTTTGGAATTTTGGAATAAATGATGAGAAGTGAGCCCAGAAAGTTTAAGAAGGTTAATATTCATAAAACCACAGAAAATAAGGAATTAACACAGAATTAAGTCACAGAAAGTCTTATAAGAACTTTGTTACAATTACGGCCTTTAACTGAAATCTGTTATTAAATAAATCAGTAGTAGCAATTAACAATAATTAATGCGCATAACTACTTATTCATAGTGATAATGAGTTAATATAGCTGTCATTCTTAAAAATTTTTTTTCGTTTAATACATAAATAACTTCTGTCACAAAAAAGAGAACAACAAATTATCTAGCTATTTATTTAATATTTTTCTACACAAATGACTGAATATGGTATAAAAAAATTTCATAAGCAAAATTTTTAGATAAAATATAGCTGCATGCATAGAAATATAAATTAAGCATGCACGATACAAAACAAATATTTTTTTAAATTTGCAAAATAATCCATTTCTTGAGACTTTATAAACAGTAAATTTAGTGAGACTAATAAGCGATGAATTAGAATTACCAGGGAAATGAAAATAGATTCAACATAATAATGTTATAATTACTTCAATTGGAAGAACTTCAGCAAACAAACAGATAAACCATTTACTGACGTACATAGACCATGACACATCAGTTTGTAGCATTCTCTCATGAACTTGCGGCACTTTAGATCTGAAATTTAAAAACATACTTATATACTTAAACTAAGAAGAGCAATGGTGGTAAAATTTCTCATGATCAATTAATATAAATGAAAAAGATTTATTATTTTTTTGTTCAACTTCAGTTGAATTTTATAATACAAATTTAATTAAAAAAATATTTAAGCATGAATCATTGAACATAAAAACTAAATGATTCAAGCAAAAAATTTTCAGTATCAAAATTTCAAGAGAAAATATTTTAATATGAGCATAAAATTGATTGAAATTTTATGGAAAACAAAAACATTCGACCTAAAAAATTATTGAGTAAAAATGTTGAATGCTCACATGCATTAATCTTCCAAAAAGCAATTCAAATTAGAACAATGAAGCAAATATATTTCATAAATATATTCAATATTTAAAATAGTATTTCATACAAGAAGGTGAAGAAAATATATATTATTTACTTAATTAATTCCTCCAAGACACCAATATCAGTAAGAAGGCCGGTCATCTCTTTTGTATAATAATCAGGAAGAATTCTTTCCTTCAAACTTTGAAGTAGCCAGAATGTCATATCTTCATTGTCAGTGACTAGCAGCATTATACCAGCAATAAAATTTAAACCCTGCAATAAATAGAGGCCATTTATTCATAAAGTTTCTAAAAACAATGTACCTAAATGAATATATTCAAGTAGTCCATAAATTATAGATAGGATTTGTTTATTTTCAACTTTGAGAGGGCTGATGTTTTGGCAAAGAGAGGCACAAGAAGTCTCCAGGCTCTTAGTAGCCCAGTCCCCCTTTCAAGTTTAAAAAGGATTGTTAGATCAAAAATCAATAGGGATTTCCATTACCAATTATCTCTCTCTCTCTAAGCTCAGCGGCGTGACAGCCCACAGAGGGCCAAGGCCTACTGTGCCCATTCAGTTTTCTTGACCATTGGGCTCTGGGGTGCAGGAGCAGATGTTCCGGTTAGGTGGTCAGCCGAACGCGAAACCCCCAGTGTTTAGTTCCCAAGCATGCTTGGTACTCATTTATCGACCCACTGAAGGGATGAAAGGCTGAGTCAACCTTGCCCGGCCAGAGGATAATACCAATTATCAGAAAGGGTAAAAACCAAAGTGTGGAGAGATCGTCGACAGAACACCATTCCAGACTGGCCGCGCCGCAAAGCGGTGGCTCAGTTTCGACTATATACCGGACATGACTGCCTAGCCGCGCACCTGTTTCGTTTAGGGCTGGCACTTGATCCCTATTGTTTTCTGTGCAAGAGTCAAGATGTTTTGGACGGCAGCCACATCCTGTGCTGCAGGGCCCTCCGCGGGTCATCATCTACCGAGTGATATTGGCAAGCAAGAGCGCTTCTAAGGAAATGACTTTTTACTTTCTTGTTTTGCTCATGTGTTTTTGCTTTTTAACATGTCAATTCACCTCTGCCATTTCAAATAAATAAATATTTTCAACTTTTGATTAAAGAACATCACAAACAATAATATTAAATTGTCACTAAGTATGACTTAAATTTTTTTTTGGCAACATGCTTGTGATTCAATTTCTTGCATTTGCACGTCTATTACTGCCAATTAAAATTTTTTATGCCCCACTTTAGATGATATACCTATAAATATAGAATGATATATTAGTAAATTAGTGTTTAATATTATCACTTAAGCAACACTTCAAGTACTGACGAAGTATAACAGCTTCTTAAACAGTACAGTAAAAGATCTATAAAACACAATTCTCTATAAACCACACTAGCCCTGTGGGTGTAAATAATGGAACTTGCAGTGAAGAAATTTTTATAACTGAACAAATATATTATTTGCTAAGACGTTTAAATTTCAACCAAACCAAACCAAAACCAAACAAACCAAAATTGATTATTTTGTTTGTTATTATTTCCAATGCTGCAGAAAATTTCTACTTTCTTTCTGTAAAAAATAAACACTTATGCATATTTTGTGTTTTTAAATATTTGTAAATAAAATTATTTTAAAGCTTTTTAAGATTAATATGTTTCAGACTAATATTGGCATATTTAGTTAAATTTAACGACAAGTTAAATGATCTACATAACAAAATTACATAAAACCCAAAGTTCCAGATTTCAAGGTTTGCATTATAAAGATCTTCTACTGTAATCATTTGATTAAAACTTTTAATAGTATAGAAATTACATTGGTTTTCTAAAATTCCTCACAAAAAATTTACATTTAAAATAATTATTATTGTATATTTTTAGTAAAAATTATATTAGCTAGTATTTATTTAGTAAAAGTATTTATTTCATAAAAGCAGCCTTAACCTTCAAAAAAAATTTTTTAAACATAAATTATACTAATTTAATAAATTTCCAAGGGATCATAGACAACTTTATTTTAACAGCTAACAAACTTAAGTGGTAGATGATCATGAAATAAATGAAAAGATTATAAAAATAATGAAAGCCTAATAAAGAAGTCAAAGACAAGTCTATGATAGATAAGTGGTCTCCTATTTTGACTAAGGAAAATATAGGGGAAATATTTTAATAATACTTATACATTTTCAGGGCGCAAATTTTTCTTTAAAACTCACGACTACTTTATCTTACTTTTATGTCATTAATATAAAATGTATAGCTAAAAAAAAACAATCAATGCTATTATATTTTAGTGGAGTGGGAAGATGTAAATGTTTGTAAGCATTTCATAAAGTCAATTAGTCATATTAAGAAACATAAATGCATGTCAGCTTTATGTTAAGTCAGATTGAAATCAAAGCAATAACAAAGATTTATTTACTGTTATGATAACAGGAATGAAGAAAATAGAATTAAGAAGTAATAGAGATTACTCCCTTTGAAAATATTTTATTTTTCAGAATAGATTGGGATAAATCCCGAAGAAAGTAGTATACTATAGTTATAAAAGGGGAAAAGGAATGACGGGTGCAGACAGGGCCTGACTAGGGCAGGGGCATACGGGGCAGTTGCCTCGGGTTCCACGTAAGAGGGGGCCACCAAATCAAATCAAAAATTTAATTTACATTTCCTGCTTTAATGCACTTTATTTAAACAAAATATCAGTACAGTGTAAAATCTGTCACTTTTATGTCAGCTTCTTCATTAGTTTATCATATGAACATAATCTATATTTCAAGAATCCATCGCTTTCTAGGGTAGAATTCAGCTAAATTTTCGCAATTGCAATGGACAAATTTCGCCAATCAAAAGCCTATACTTTTACATATAGCAAAATGCTATATGTCTAAAAAAAAATACAGGCTTTTGATCGGCTTAATTGAGCCATCGTAATTGCGAGGTTTTAGCTGAATTCCGCCCTAATGTCAGCAAGGATATGAATTTTTTTGCAGCTAGGTGACAAAGTTAACGATCAGAAAACTGCACGGCATGATGGACACAGAATTGTCAAAGAAAATCAATAAAATGGACAGAACTACATTTTGTCTGCTATCGCAAGGGGAGGGGACTATTTGCTTTTCAATTGACATTATTGTCAGGTACATGATAAATTTAAACAATGCTCCTGCAATTTAAATTGAATGCTCAAAAAATGTTTGAGAATTATAGGATAGAAAACAATCAGAATTTACCCTTATTCTGTTTATGGCCAAAAATAACTTAAGTTTAGATGAAAACTGAAATTACAATCCTGCATTGCTTTAATAAAGCTATACCATTTCACATTTTTAAAGATGACTAAAATGGCCATTTTAATCACACGTGAATACAAAATTCTTAAAAATATTGTATTTTGGGAAAAAAGGAATTTTTGAAGAAAAAAAAAGTCACAATATATTTTATAAATGAAAATGCAATTAAGAGAAAAATTCCAAACATTTTTATAAACAGTGACTAATAATGACTAACTTGGCATATTTTCATAACTTTTCAGCAATCAATTGTATACCAATTTTAGCTTAAAAAAATATTAATTAAAATATGTTGCAATGTAAATATTAAAAAAAAAAAAATATTTTATCAACAATAATTATTTTATAATATATTTTATAATAAATATTTTATCAACAAAGTTGAAGAGGATTCTCAACTTTATCTTTAATTCTTTATATTGTATTTCATTTTCTAAAACATAACCCTTTTCCGCAAAAAAGATAAAGAGTAAAACATAAAGAAGTTAGAAAGTAAATGATAACAAAAGAAATAATTCAGCATATTAAATACGGTAATTAAATTTGAAATGAGTTAATAAATCTTCTTAATTAGACAAAATCATATCAAATTACAATAAATGATTAAATACAAAAACATTAACATACTTGGCAATAACCAATTAAGGGGTTGTGATGAGCAAATGCTAATAGCACATTTTTTAAAGATTCTCGTTTAGAATCTGGAGATGCTCCTTTGAAGTAAATGTTATCAGGAAATGTACGAGGTATATCTAGAAGAAAGAAAAAATATATATTAAGAAAGAAATTTAAAATAACAATGCAGTAATGAATCAAATTAAAGAAAAGTGCCAAATAAAATTAAGAAATAAAAACTAATATAAATAAACTTACGAATCATATAATAAATTTAAAAATATTAAATATTTCATCAATTTATATTGTTTAGTTAGAATAGGATAATAGAAAAAAAATTGAATTTACAGAATTGTTAGCTCAAAATATGTTACATCAAAATTTGTAAACATTTTTAATAAAATAAACATACAGAGGTATTTTTTGTGTAGAATTGTAATTTAAAAACAATGTATAGGTTAGTTGCTAAAATTGGATGCTAATTTTAAAATATTTCTGGTAGAAAATATAAATGATAGGGGTCACCTGTGTAAAAGGTTATGACTATACTTGAACCTTAAATTTTATTTTATATTTTATAATTGTCGTTGAACAGCCGATTCAATTTTGGGTTTACGACTACCAATGTTTAACTCTGTAGCCTTGTAATTTTGAACCCAAGCCAGAAAACAAGGGAACTCCTGGATCAAATTTTGCCTTTGCGGAGGACTTTTTGATGAAACTTACACATATTTGAGTCACATGGAGAGGAAAACCACGAAAACCACCCATGGATAGCCTGAGGGAAAGGGTACTCTAACCCGTGATCCATCTCCTTTTTGAAGATATTTAACGTTAACACTGTAGTCGGTGTGAACTGGGTGCGGAATTTGTATCGACCAGTCATAACTGACTGAAGTGCCCAATTATAACCATCCTATATATCAAGGTTTTGATGCCTCCTAAATCAATTGAGAAATGATATTTTAAACCCCCAATTTTTAGTTCTAGGGTTTTATACACATTGCCTTTGAGATGGTCATTATCAGAATTTTCTTAGATCATTCGTGACTTAACAAAAGTGATATTTTGATGCAATGGCTTTAGAGCATTAAAAAAGAGATGTAGGAACACAACAGGGTATAACATAAGAGACGGCACTTATTGACTAGTGGACAGATTTTAATGAAATTTGATGTGTACATACATTGATACAATACAAAACAAATAACCATTCAACAATTGTAATACACACGCATGATAAATAAATGGGTAAATAGGGAGTCAAGTCTCTCCTTACAATTATACAGGCCTTGCAACATGATTTCAGACTTCAAATAAGGTAGTTTATCATTTCCTGTGGCAATTTCATCAGGGGTCTGTCCAGGCCAAATTTACTACCGTTTAGCGGTAACTTCACAAATTTAACTTTAGTTTGTATCCCTCAAAAAACGATAAATCCATATTTTTATGTTGATTTTTTTACATAATTTTTAATTTTCACAAAATAGATACCTCTCAGAAAAACCTAGCAGACCCCTGTTCATACTTCCAACTCCAACAAGTGTTACACACGATCATGCGTGTGTATTACAATTGTTGAATGGTTATTTTTTGTATTATATCAATGTATGGACACATCGAATTCCATTAAAATCCATCCAGTAGTTCTAGAAATAATCGACCAAGTCTGCAAATTCTCTTAATTTCTTACAGCAGTGTATTACAAAATTTTTAGGTCAAACCATAAAACATATAAGGAATTGATTTATCAAAATTTTTAAATAAAATAATTAATAATTATAATAAAGCAACAAATACCAAGATCAATGGTTTCTATGATTTCCTGCTTCATTGGGCTTCTGAGAATAGTTGTATAGAGATCAGGTTTCTCCTCCTTCATCTCCTTAGCACCACTAATATATGACCACACCTGTTAATAGTTTTAAAATAAATTAGTAAATATTCGTCAATTCCATCCTTAATAAGCATTTCATTGTATTACTATATACTGAATTAATTTTTCAAGCATAACTTTATATTGAATACATTTGTAGAAGAGAAAATTGCGGAGAATTAAGTAAACTTTGTAAGATCATCTTTTCAGACATCTATATGAACAGTTCAGATCAGAAGCTTCATAAATATCTTTTCGTGTTTAAAGGTAACTATTCCTTTTGAGAACTGTTTTACATATATATCAACCAAGATTTATACTTTTTTTAAAAATAAATTTTTGTAAATATATTTCGAAAGTTAGTCTTAAAATGTTTGAATTTTCATCACACTTTTTTTAAGCTATCATTTATGAATTTTAAACTTTTTGTTAAACTTGTTTATTGTAAACTTATTTTATTTTGAAATGCTATTATAAAAAGAAAGAGTTGAATACGCCACAATTTGTATATACGCAATTTTTTATATCTCTAGCTTTGAAAATTTATAGAAATGCACTACTAAATAAAACTAGTGATGTATATAAGATTTATGACAAATATTTAATAATATAATCCACTGCTAACACACTTTGTAAATTTTGCAACTGACTCAATTTTAGTTAAATCATAAAATTCTTTATGTAATACAGGTAATTAAAATAATAATTAGTTTCAAAAACCCAATTTAAAAATTAAGTGAATACACAAATAAAAGTTAGGTTCGTTGTAACAAGAATTAGTAAGCACATTTTAGATAAACTTGAGTAATTTTTAATTGTCAAAGAAAAATAATAATTCAGAAAGTACAATTGTAATCTCTAATGTATTTGTTTTCTAAACAATATTTTTTAAAGAATTATTTTAATCCTGACAAAAAATTTCAATTTAATTCGCCAAGAAATTTAATTTTCGTGTGTTTAATAGCTTATAGGTTCAATAATATGAATTAAAATGCGAAGACAATGCATATTCTTTTTATTGATGAAGATTGAAGAAAGGAATAGACATGAAAAAAATAAATTAGATTAAAAAAATAAAATATGAAAACAGAAAAAAATTAAATATTAAAAAATAATATAGGAAATTTAGGGGTGTAGAAAATTCTCAGAGCCTAGTATTTCCACAGAATATAGTTTTTTAGGTTTGAAATTTTCCTCAAAATTATAGCTCTTTTTTTTATAGTTGCAATAACAATTTAAAAACATTTTTTTGACAGTAAAGTTTCTACATTGTTAAAATTTCTAAATGATTTCCTTTTAAAAAAAAAAAGAAGAAAAAAATGCATTTAATTTTACACAATTCTCAAATAAGAAAGTAACTACTAAATAATAATAAATGAATTGAAAATTTAAAGAAATCAAAATATAATGAGATGGTAATAATTTATTAAACTAAATTTAAGAACCAACTCATAAACTTAAAGAATTCAAACTAATGAATAATTGATATATTAAGTAATTTGTGTTATACAACAGAAAATATTATTATTCTCTTTAGACAGTAAGCTGATATGCAATACGGAATTAAAAAATAGGATAAAATAATCTTTAAAAATTTTTTTATTAAATTTTTTAACAGGAAAATTTCTTATCAAAATTTTATTTTATTCAGATCAAAAAATTTTCCTGGGCTGCCTCAATTTCCCCTGAATTTCATTAACATGATTGGACATATTCTGCATCGGTGATTATGAACTATTTAAAACTTACCACTCCTCTCTGGTTGCTAGGTATACCTTTCCTAACATACCTTTTCACTGAAAAAAAGAAAAAAAATTTCATATAGCTTTAAAACTTTTTTTATGCTAAATAATTAAAAAAAAACATTCAATATTGAAAAGTAAAAAATAATGAATGATATAAACTTCATAAAATAATTTTGGTCCTTAATGATCTTTATACAATGAATGAAAATAATTTATTTTTTAATGTTTCTTCAGTCTGTAAAAATTTTCTGTGCCTCTAGAATGAGAGAATAATAATTCCAACAACAAAAGGTAATTTAACGTTTTTTTGAAGAATGTTAAAAATGAGTTATAACATTTCAATATCTTTTAAATTAAAAGTTGTATAAAAATCAACACTTGTGTACTTATTGAGGGAATTAAGTGAAAAAGAATTAAATTTTCTGGGATTATTATTGCAAATCATGTTAATACATTTGTAGTAATGATATTCCCGCTTTGTTTTTAACTCTCTTTACCTTTATTTCAGGAATATTATTGCAACTAGTGATATATTTACAAGTTGCCAAGCATATCATAATTTATCTTTACAATACAAAAACAAATCAATTTCTCTAGAACTAATAATAAAAAGAAATCATCAAAAACCAGTAAGAAAGTATTTCCTGATATACCTTTATTACTTTTATATAAACCCTCTTTGGAATTCAAAAGCTTATCCCATTTCTTGGCCCTACGACCAAGAACTGAAAGGTATTTTGACATAAATTCATCATACTGGTCATAGTTAAAGTCTTTTGGCCATTCAAATCCATATGAATCAACACTATGAAACAAAAATAAGCATTTTAAATTAAAAATTATAATAAATAAGCGATTTACATTTCTATAATGCAACATGATGTAAACAATGTACATAAATAATTTAATTCTTTTCTGTTAACATAAAATATTAAAATAACAACATAACTACCAACTTATAATGGAACTTAACAATCATAGGGATATAAAACAAGGATAGATACTTTAATTCGTATTAATATTTAACAAATAAACTCAACTCTATTTTGCAATATCTTTCGTAAAATACAATGTTACCACATAAACTAAATGAGAAAAATAACATTATTTTAGAATATTTTTCTTTTCGAACAATACAGATTCAAATGGGGATGTTGGGTAGATACTTTATTTATATCGCATTAAAGCTGCACAGTATCCTAAAGCTGGGAAATATCCCTGAGAATAATCCAAAGACATGCCATCACAATTTTGAGCCTCTGCAAAGGAGGCGGCTCCTCTGCTTTGGTAGCCCAAAGACCCAAGTGTGAAGTTGAGCACTTTATGGTATAACAGTTCAACAAGGACCTATATTGTGCACTTTTGGTCTCTACAGGGTTTGTCCGGAAAGTAATAGGACTGAGTCGATTTAAAAAAATTTATTGAGCCAATCGCTACAATTCTTTAAAAACTTTCAAAATAGGCTCCTTCTGCGTCAATGCAGCGCTGCCAGCACGATTTCCAAGCATTGAAGGCGTCATGGAAGGCATTCTCCGGAATAGCCTTGAGAGCGGCGGTGAATGCCAATTGGATCCGCTCTGTCGTCTCAAAATGCTTGCCTTTCATAGGCCTTTTCAGGCGAGGAAACAAAAAAAAAGTCAGGGGGACCACATCTGGGCTGTAGGGCGGCTGCGGAAGCGTTGGGATGCCGTCTTTCACACATGTTCAAATTTTCTTGGTACTCTTCCACTCGCCGCAATTTCTGGTCGTCAGTGAGCACTTTTGGGATCATCTTTGCGCACACCTTGCGCATGTTCAAATGCTCCGTCACAGCGTCACGCACCAAAGATTTTGGTAAATTTAACATCTGGGCAATTAAGCGATGACTTAGTCGACGGTCTGAATTCAAAACTTCGTGAACACGAGTCACATTGTCGGTGTTTGTCGAAGGTCTTCCAGCTCGGTGTTCATCGGCGACCTCTTCCCGGCCCTCCAAAAAGGCCTGATGCCACCGAAACACACCACTTCCTGCTAAAGCAACATCTGGGCAAGCCTGCTTGATCATATCAAACGTCTCTGTCGCAGATTTACCGAGTTTCACACAGAATTTAATCGCGTACCTCTGCTCTAACGAACGCTGCATTTTTGACTTGCACCACTCACAAAAACACGTCGCGCGAAAATGACTGTCCTGACTCTCCAGGTACTCGGAGACAACTGAACAGCCGCTCGTTCGTTAGCTAGGAATGCCCTCTACTGAATCCAGTCGGCACGTTCACGCTCCGAAGTACAGTCGCGGCGGAAGAAAATCAGTCCTAATACTTTCCGGACAAACCCTGTATGACCAAAGTGATCATCCACTCGCTTACGTACTGCAGCCAGTGATGTTTGATTTCGGTGTTCTAATGAGAAATCCAAATGAGGATGAAGTGTACTTTATGGTAGATATGAATAAAGCAGAACAATGCGAAAAAAGTTCAAATAAATGTTATAAGTAAAACTCTTACCACAGGGTGGCATTTTTGATTTTTCTCCCTGGAGGAGCATCGTCAGATATGAATATGTATTTTTCTTAAATATGTTTCTCTTACCCCCTTAAATTTAACCTATTAGTGCCTAGTTTTAAATTTATATTATGTTTAAATTATATCTGTCTTAATTTTTAAATGATTGTCATATGCACAAAACCTTTTTCTAAATTGTTAAAACTATGTAATCAAGAATCTTTTTATGACTTAATGAATTTGGTAATCGTAAAAATGCTGACTATTGTTTAATCCCAAATTAACTTTGCTAATTAATTGCTTATAATAATAATCTTTCTTTTTTTAGGTTAAACAACCAAGTTTTTCACTTAGTAGCTTAAATCAATCTTAACTTTTCTCTTCTATCCCTTAAGTCCTAATATCCAAAGTATATAATCACAATGTTAATCATAAATAATAGATGCAACATAAAGGTTCAAAACTGGAGATATTAGAATTTTCATTCTATTAAACAAGAACTTTCCTAAGAGTCTGAAGACAAAATGGCAAGAGAAAATTACTTGAATAAGATAATAAAAGAAGGGAGATATGAAATTGGGAAGAAGTGATTAAGTAGGAACCCCAAGGTAAAAGATTTATAAATTAAATAAAATTAGATTAACCAAGGTTTTTTTCTAATTTACATTAGAAAAAAAAAGTTAAAATTAAAAAAATTAATAAAAACAGAAAATAAAATTTTTTAATCTAAAATTACTGATCTCATAATATAATCACTTTGAATTAATTAAAGAAAAAAAATTGTAAGAAAATTTGTTAAGAAGAAGTGCTATTAAGATTTATTCCACACTTTTGTCATTCTTTCTCTTCATCAAGAGCTTGTCAAAATCATAAAAATTATGAAACTAAATATACACAACATAATACAAACATAAATAAAAACAACTAATTTTTAATTTAAAAAGGTGATTTTTTAAAGGTGATTGGATAGAAACAACTAGATTTCTATATTTTTTCATTATTATTAAACTTAAGTATTTGTCATCTTTAAAAATTTTGAAATGCATGCTGTAAAGTATATTAGCATTAATTTTTAGCAATTTGTATTGACATATATCATGAACTTGAATATCTCATTAAACCTAACTAGCATTATACTACCTTTGTAAGATACAAAAGAAGTAGGATTCCATTGAAGAAAAATATTGAATTTAATTTTTACAAGCTTTTATATACTATGGTATCACCATCACATAAGTCTCTCTGATGTTTAATGACTCATTGTTCTATGAGTCATTAAACTTGAGTCAGATTTCTCAGACGGTAATTTAGGCAGTTCACACAAAATTTGTTGATACACTATCATTAAGGAACATAATAAAATATTAAGTTATTCAGAAAAATTATTTATTTGAAATAAATTTATCAGCAGAGGCACAATTTATATATGTAAATGTAAATAATTTCTACATTTAAATAGGAGCAAATAAAATCAATAAACAAGCAGTTGAATTTTTTATTAAACGAATTTTCAATATTTTTTATTTTTAAATGAAATACGCCAAGTTTTTTTTTCCATTTTCATGCATTGAACATAATTCTAACAAAGATAATAATTTAATCTTAACAACTGGGTATATGTATAAGCACATATCCTTCTTCTTTGGGGGTTATTTTGGAAGCTTTTAATTCGTTATATATAAATACATTAATTATGAAAATAAAATGGATAGATATAGGAGCAATTGTAGTGGGTGTAGTGCCGAAAGTAAATATAGTTATTTGAGCAGACGATTAAGGGTCGAAAAGATAATAAGATTGTTACTTCGAACTAGTAAAGAAAGATCTTACTTAGACCGTGGAGGTTGACTCATTCTAATGAATGAANGTCATAGTTAAAGTCTTTTGGCCATTCAAATCCATATGAATCAACACTATAAAACAAAAATAAGCATTTTAAATTAAAAATTATAATAAAAAAGCAATTTTATGTTTTTATAATGCAACATGATGTAAACAATGCACATAAATAATTTAATTCCTTACTGTTAACATAAAATATTAAGATTGTGTGATTAAGATTTCATTCCACACTTTTGTCATACTTTCTTTTTATCAAGAGTTTGTTTGACATGCAATAAAAATCATGAAACTAAATATCCTAAAACATAAAAAAAAACTAATTTTTAATTTAAAAGAATGATTTTTCAAAGGTGATTTGAACAAAACAACTTAATTTCTATATTTTTTCCTTATTATTAAACCTAAATATTTGTCATCTTTGAAAATTTTGAAATGTATGCTGCAAAGTATAATAAACTTTAGCATTAATTTTTAGCAATTGTATTGACATATATAATGAACTTGAATATCTCTTTAAACCTAAGTAGCATTATACTACCTTTTTAAGATACAAAAGAAGTAGGATTCCATTGAAGAAAAATATTGAATTTACTAATTTTTACAAGCTTTTTTATACTATGGTATCACCATCACATAAGTCTCTCTGATGTTTAATGACTCATTGTTTTATGACTCATTAAACTTGAGTCAGATTTCTCAGACGGTAAATCAAGCGGTTCACATCAAATTTGTTGATATACTATCATTAAGAAGCACAATAAAATGTGAAGTTTTTCCGAAAAATTATTCTTTTGAAATAAATTAATCAGCAGAGGCACAATTTATCAATAAATAATTTCTACATTTAAATAGGAGCAAATAAAATCAATAAACAAGCAATTGAATTTTTTATTAAATGAATTTTTAAATTTTTTTTATTTTTAAATGAAATATACCAAGTTTTTCCATTTTCATGCATTGAACATAATTCTAACAAATATAATAATTTAATCTTAACAACTGGGTATATGTATAAACACATATCCTTCTCCTTTGGGGGTTAATTTAGAAGCTTTTAATTCGTTACATAGAAATACATTAATTATGAAAATAAAAAGGATAGATATAGGAGCAATTGTAGTGGGTGTTAGTGCAGAAAGTAAATATAGTTATTTGAGCAGACGATTAAGGGTCGAAAAGAGAATAAGATTGTTACTTCGAACTAGTAAAGAAAGATCTTACTTAGACCGTGGAGGTTGACTCATTCTAATGAATGAAACGAGATCTCTTTTTAAAGCAGATTAAAACATGGAATATATTATTAATTTTTAATGTTGATAACATCAAATGAAATCAATCCATATTGATGTTTTGTCATTTAAAGTTGCCACCTCTCAATAAAAGTATTAAAAAAAATAAAAGATGCAGTTTTATTAGAAAAGACAGAAAAGAACATTTGTATGCTTTATAAATTAATTCATCATATTTTATGATCAACTGAATATTTTAATTGAATTTATATACCATTTAGAAAGAATTTTCTTTTTAATATGAAAGTTGGCAATCAGTTAAATTTTCTTTTCAGATCAGTAATAAGTTTCGTTGTTTTGATTATCATCTTGAGAAATTTTATATTTTATAATAATTATCCTGTAAATTAATAAAATTATATTAGCTATGGGTTCTGAGATGGAAGGAATGGAGGAAATTCTTCATGATTATGTTTCAACGGAGGATTTAAAAGTATATTTAAAGATTACCATTTATATTATTTTTATTGTTAATTTCATAAGTTTGAGCAATATTTTGTTGAATGACGTATCGTTGCAATTTTTGTTTTAACCCTTACCATATTTAGGGGAAGATATATGGGGACATATAACTTTCATAGAAATATTTCTTTCATATTCTTCCCAATTTTTGTACTATATCGCTAAAAATGAGTTACTGTGTATCCTACTATTGTCACCAAAATCCGGTGTTTATTTTTGTTTTGTTTTTTTGTGTGTCAATACCAATACTGAAAGTTTTTGATCGTGTGTTAAAATTTCGGGGATATTTTCTATCAGGAAAGATATCTAATAACTGAAAAAGAAGAATTTATTTTACTAGCATCTTTAAACTAATTGTTCCCATTTTATGGTTTTTCATTTTCAAAAGAACACCAGTAAGTGTTGCAGAGAAATGATTTAGCAAAGTTAGTTACTGTTAAACCTATATTGTGTTTTCAATCTTTGGTTCCGATCCAATTAAATATTCAATGTTAATTAATGTTTCTTTCATCTGTGCTTATCTCATAGTTTTCTTTTCATAATTTTGTTCATTTTCTTATATTATAATTCATCTCCTGTAATCAGTGGTGTACATTATAATCAGATAATGGGTCCTATATTTAGTAATTTTTATAGACCAACACAAAAAGTTAGTTTTAGTAAATGATTTGCTCAAATGAGTTATTTAACTGTATAAATTTTATAATTTTCGCATTCTTATTTGCTGCACTAGGGGCTTTCAAACTGTTGCAGCACCCTGGAGTGCTCAGTTTAATCCTTCATGTAAATGAGAAGGGTTATGCGTTAATAATGTTTATTAAAATGACTAGTTAGAATCTTACATTAAGATATAATCATTACTAAACTGAACTCAGTGGTGCGACAGCCCATAGAGGGCAAAGGCTCACTGTACCCACCTCAGTTTTCTTGACCTTGGGCTCTGGTGTGCAGGAGCAGATGTTTCGGTTAGGTGGTCAGTCAAATGCGGAACCCCCAGTGTTTAGTTCCCAAGCATACTTGGTACTCATTTATCAACCCACTGAAGGGATGAAAAGCTTAGTCAACCTTGCCCGGTCGGATTACGGTAAAGATATAATCATATATTTTCATTTTGCGAACTCGCAAACCGGGCAGGGCATAAATGATATTTTTAGAGCCATGTTATATTATACATCACAAAAGATGATTGTTTTTATTTATCTATATTGTATTAACTAATGAAAAAAAGTAAAAAAATCCTATTTTATTTAGTTCCTTCTGTGTAGCTTTCAGATATAACCAGATTGTTTTGAAACGTTAAAATTGATTTATTTATTCTTGTTTTGAACTCAATGTAATTAATTTAAAATACTATCATTAAAGTGTTTTGTTTACACTTGGCATGCCTAATTGTAATGCTTACTAATACAGCATTTAGTGATTAAAATTTTATTTATAAATTGAGCTGTAAAATAACACTAAGCATTTTTAAAATCTTTTATTTTATAATTTCTTTTATAATTTTTTATTTTATTTAGCCAAGTGCAAAGAAATTCAATTACTTTTAAAAATTTGTAAAATTTTAATTGTTTAGCTACTGTTTCTTAAGTAGCATAATATATTATATTGAGCCACTAAAAAAATCTGGTATATATAATAAAAACGCAGATTTAAACATAAAAAAACCCTTCAAAATTTTTTTTTTGCTTTCACTGGTATGTAACCTAAATATTACAGGGTTCTTAATGTTTTTGCCTGTAACCCATAAAATATTGATGTTTATGAGTGTTTACCATTAATAACAAACCCTTCTCAAATGTTTCTTTTTGATCTGTATGCTGTCTCCAGCCAAAAAGATTACTATTAAACATTTCTTTTATAAGCATCTATTGATTTATATTTTTAAAAGTTTTTCTTCATCTCTTATTGAGTTTAAACAAGTTTTATATTTTTTAATATGCTAAATAAAAAGCATATTATGTGTTGTGGAAATATTGCCAGTTTAGTTTTGTTATGATTCTACGATACTTAAAAAATTCTGTATTTATAAATCTTTGCTTTACAATTTAGAAATTTGAAGCTGTGTATCATTCCAACTTGCAGAATGGTCAAGTCACAACCAGAGAACAATTTGATTATGCTTGGTGCTTGATACGAAGTAAATATGCGGCTGATATTCGAAGAGGTGTAGTTCTACTTGAAGGTAAACTATTACTCAGGCATGTGATTTTTTAGTATTTTTATTGAATTCGCTAATTTTTGAAGAGGACTTCCTTTATTTTTCTAGTGCAAAAAAAATTGAAATATGGTTCCCATTGTTTGGTCAGGAGAGCGATCCAAAATTTGAACCTCTTATTGTTAATTCAATTTTTTGCATTTTTAGTCATATTTTTAAAACTAATAAAGCGATTAAAAAAAAAATTGCACACACTCGTAAAACCCATTTACCCAAAAATAATTTCTTACAAAATTATTGTTATCAATGTTAAAATAATTTTATGTACTAAAAATATGATTAAAATTTTTTTTTATTTATTAAAAGTTGTTAGGTAAAAACAGAATAAATAAAAAAAATGTAAGTGCTTACATATTCTAAATAATGAGTATTTTAATTTTATAAAATTTTTTAAAATTATTTCATATCTTATTTATAAATAATTAGATTAATTGAAAAAATAGAACGTGATGCAATTTTCATAACATTATTTACCGTGCAAAAAATATAAGTGTTTTAAATATTATATGAAATATTTAAAAACAAAATTTTTTTATCTTAGTTTGGCTTTATTTTAGGAACAGCTGTGCATTTATTTACTTAATTTTCATTAAGATATATTTTTTAACTACATTCAGCTTATTTAAATAATAATAATTTTTATTTTTCAGATCTTTTTCAAAGTGGTGATGCAATGCAAAAAAGAGATTATATGTATTACCTTGCTATCGGGCATACAAAATTAAAGGTAAGTTTCACAAGCATGATGTTATTATTGTAAATGTATACATTCAATTATTATTCTTATTATTGTACATTCATACATTCAATTTAAAAATTTATAGAGAAGCACAATTCTTAATTAATTTTTTAGTGATTTCTAATATATTTCAGTTATAATTCTAAAGCATTTTTTCCTTGTAATCCTAATTTTTTTAAATGTTTCGAACAACTTTGCTAATTCATCTTTTTGAAATTAGGATTATAATAGAGCCCTCCAGCTGTTGTCAAAGTTTTTAAGTATTGAACCAACAAATAGACAAGCTCAGACTTTGCAAAAATACGTCAAAGGCAAAATGAAGAAAGGTATGAATAAATATTCTAATAATGTAAACTTGAATACTAATACAGTCGAACCCCGCTATAGTGAACCATCTGCGGACTCAGTAATGTGTCCACTATATCCGATGGTTCACTATATCCAAATTTTTTGAAGAATATTTTTTGTATAAGACAGTTGAATGATTGAAAATTGACTTTGCAATTTTGCATAAGTTATTTAAAAAATTATTAACTAATTAACAGATAATAAAGCAAAAATTGATGGAAAAAGTAATTACGTCGCTAAATATTAGTTTTATTTTCACTTTTTATGAAAAAAATTTGTGATTTTTGATTGAACACAATTTGATTTTAAATTGAGTTCATCAATTTTCTTATCTACAATGTGCAAAGAATGTAAGATTTTTACATTTTGAACAAGATTTCGAACCATCTTAACAAAGCATCTTCTACGTTTTCTCTTTCAGCTCCACGCAGTTTTTTCGATGAAACCATGTTTTTGTCGTATGCCGCAAGAATTGCACTTCGATTTTTCCAAATGTTTGAAACTGTAGATTTTGACAAGGAAAATTCCTTACACAGTGTCGATTGATTGGTTCCATCATCAATACGCTTTACAATTTTAACTTTGTCCTCTATCGAAAACGCTTTTCTCTTTAGAGAATTTGCCATTTTCACTGCTTTTGAAATAAAAATCTTGTCTCAAATAGATAATGTAAGAATATGAAGAGAGCAGCTGTAGAATGAGTTAAATTGTTCCCCTTCTTGATTGTCAAGGGGTGATTTGTAAAGAATATGGTTTGAACAGATAAGAAAATTCCAAAAATTCAGCAGGTGGCCAAGTTAACTAGTTGTAGAGCAAGCTTGGGGAAAAGAGATAAAGCGAGGCTTGTCAGGGAGGGGGGAGTATAAGATAAATGATCTGTTTGACATTTATTACAGTATAGTTAAAAGTGATAAGCATAAAGGAGAGTAATATGACACATTTTATAGGAATGCATTCATTTTCAGTCCCAACACCTACAAGTTTAAAGATGGAGGACTGAAAAAGATATTTAAAGAAATGAAATTTGAGTCCACTATAACCGAGTTTCCAAGTTCTAAGCTGTTCACTATAAGCGTTAAAAATAACATTATTTAAATAGGAATACGGACGGGACCGCTAAAAAAGTTCACTACATCCGAGTGTTCACTATATCCCAGGTTCACTATACTCGTTCGACTGTAGTAATAATTTATCTAATAATGTGAACTTGAAATAAAAATTATTTTTCCGCCAGTGTGGGTTCACTTGAACCCATGTTTATCAATGGGAAAGTGGTTTATAATAAATCCAGATGCTTGCAAGTCCTAAAATTAACATTGTTACTATGTTTAGATAATATAGTTTATTCTTACCATGAGTTTGTTATGGAATAGCCATATCTGGCTCTTGTTTTATTAAGAATATACATTTTTTTTAAATGAACTTTTCGGATTCTTTTTGGTTTTACTTCTATGCTTTCCAAGTATTTTAATATTGAAATATTCTATGTTACATACTAAAAATTAGCTTTAGATAAAATCACATGATTCAAATCAAATTCTATAAATGATAGCTATAGTCTCTTTTCTCTAAAACTATACAAATTTATAAAAATGCATGCTTATGTGTAATATAAAAATATAATTTTCTGGTGTTATTTTTTTTTTTTTTAATGTATATATTTTCAAAAATCTACAAGAATCTACTTGAGATCTGTTAAATAATTTTTCCTTTCAGAAGGTGAAAATTTAGCTAAATTTTTAGTCTGTATAGTCTATTATTTATGCATAATAATTACTGTATCAACAGCTGTGCCTGGTTAGCAACAAATTCGTTAAGGAATAGAAAACTATTCAAAGTTAACGTTAATAACAACTAATATGATATTGATTTGCTGCTTAAGTCTCTTTCCTGTAGCATTTATAAATAAAATAAAAATTAGTTTATATTACATTTTTTTGAACAAATTAATGATAAACTGTTTTTGTTAGTACTATGTAAAAATTGAGGTATATTAGTTTTATTAAATTATTATTAAATATTATAGAAGGCTTATTAGGAATGGCTATTGTTGGAGGAGCAGCACTAGCAATAGGAGGAGCAGTAACTCTTGGAATGGCCCTGGCTAAGAAGTAATACAGAATTGTCTTTAAAACTGTAATGCAAAATAATAGTGTTATTTATTGAAAGCAATTTAAAATTATATATTCTTTTACTTCTTTGTATAAGTTTTATAATTTGGGTTTTAAGTTGTCTTGAATGCAGTTTGGTAAAAAAGAGGTAAAGCTAACATTTATGTTAATATCTTCTCTCACAATAGTAATTACAAGTTTGTTGAAAGAAGTGATTTGTTTTCTTTTATGGAGAAAAAAAGCTCTTTTTATAAAAATTATATTTATGTATATAAAGATAATACTGAACATATGAGTATATGTTCTGTGATTGGAACCAAAACTGATCAAAATGATAATTACCCTAAATTATATATTATCGTACCAATATTATCATTTGGTTTCCATGAGCTTTGTAAGTTTTGGTACAAAGAAACAAAAAATAAGAACTTTACCCACTGTGAAAATATTAACTTTGATTGTTAATTAAGTTTGAAAATTGTTTTTAAATGTAAGAATGTTCTGTTTTAATATTTATGACATTAATATATGAAAGCTATAATTTCCCACTTTACTTTTCATTATTTATCAAATTTTCCTATTATTGATGTCAGTTGTTCCATAAATTAAATAATAAAATTCATAAATTTTATTTTCAGTTACAAAAACTTATTATTTTTGTAAAAAAAAAAAACTTTAATGGTTTGTTAATCATTAAATTGTTTTATAATTATTATAATTTGTAGGGAAAAAATCAATCTTGAGCAAGACTTGCTTTGCTTATTAAGATTGACTTTTTTCAATAAATTATAAGTATTTAAGTGACTGAATGACCAATTTGAACCTAAGTTCAGCATTTTTTCTGTGATTGAGTTATTTATAATTTTATATGCTTTGGTTTCATTATTTTAATATATTTACATATTCCAAAAGAAGGTAAAAATGTTAAGAGTTCACATAAAGATAATTTTAATAGAATTGTGTGCAACGAATAGTATTTTGTAAACCAGTGCTCCTCAATGTCCATAAATATTTGATACTTTGCTAGAATTACCCTCACCCACAATTTCTTTTAAAAAAATTTTATGAGAAAAAGATTTATTTAGAAGACATTTGATAATTTGTTATTTAATCCAGCTTTCATGAGTGGAAAATTTTTTAATATTTCTCTAAATTGGTATAAAAGTTCTTTTTAATCAAGAGAGTTATGTCCTTAAGTATTTTTAAAGCTATCTAATGTCCAATTGAAGAAATTAAGGTAAATGATATCTAAGAAATAAACACAAAAATATTATCTAAATGTAAGGAAATATCTTGTATTAACATAAAATCATTATTTTTCTTTAAAATGGAATTTGTAATTGTGTGATCTTAATCCAAATTTCATTTTCAATATTCCATTTAATACCTTTTATTTTTAATTCTTTATTTTTCTATCTGTGCTCAATCTGTATAAATGCATCCATTCTAGTGCAGGTAAATAATCCTATGTTTAAAATTGTTTACTACACTTCCCTATTAAATTAAAATACTTATATACATATTTTACACTTACCTTTAATTTTATTTGCTTCATTATAAATCATGAAAATCTTTTCTATTTATTATTGGAATTAAATTCTGTACGTAATTTAAAAAGAATTGAATCATCATTATATTCAATATATTTCTTATTAAATTTAATAAGTAACACAACAATGTAAAATTAAAATAATTTCTCTTGAGTTGATGATAGGATTTTTTTTTATGTTACATAACTGAAAAAGTTTTCTGAGATGATAAAACCCATAGAAGGAAAGCCTCTAGTTGTTCACTATTGAATTATATGTCATAGATATTTCATCTTCCATCAATAATTTGTTGATATCTATTTAAAGTTTGTTGATCATAGTATATTTTGAATTCCTTGATTTAAAACATTAATTATTGAAAAAATATTTGGTTGGTTGTCTAACATTATTTTTTAATATTAAAATTTCTTGTAAATTTTTTTTAAATACTTTGCATTTCCTTAGTTTACTTAAAATGATTAGTATTTTGCTATGCAATGATTAAATAACAAATTATTTACTGAAAACTCAAGATATTAATAATTTTTTCTTTAGGTAAAAGCTCAGCTCCTGTCTGAATGATTAGCTGCTTCAACCAAAGTGATGTGAGATGAACATTTGTAAAACTTGTATATTTTTAAACATGTATTTCAGAACTGATTGTATTATAATAATTTATCACAAATAAAGAGAATTATTTCTTAAAGGCATTTTTTTCTTTATATATATTTTACTTATTAGAAAATCTTCTTATTCTTTGTCAGCGCAACAGCCCCTTACAAGCTTTGGCTGCCTCAACAGCTGACAAATGCTAGCACCTTTTATCCATGGCAACTCCCTCCTGATTTGTAATCTTTAGGGTTTTCAGGTAATTTTTGATGTCGTTGAGGCATCTAGTAGGAAGTCTACTTGTGGAGCGTGACCCCTCGGAGTTCTTAAAGGTTTATAAGATATTAAAATTATCTGAATATTTATCTAGTGTTAAAGACTATGTTCATTTTTTTCGTATGGAGCATAAATAAAAGTTCTTCAATTTATTAAAAACTAAACATTTCTGTAATAGATAACCAACTTAATACCAATTTTGGAAACTTGAGTAGTTATAGTAACTTAAAACATCTTCAAGAATTGCAAAAATTGAGTTTTATTACTTACCTATATTTTAATAAAAGTGAAAAAGTATTTCCCTCAAGCTACATTACTTAGTTTCATGTAAAAACAAGCAAGTTTTTGATTTGGGAAAAAAAAAGAGTTGTTCAATGATAAGACAACATTACGTTAAAATAAATAATTGCAAGAAACTTAATAAGTAAGATATAAGGTTGTTAAAAAATTTCTGCAACTCTCTTGCAGCAAGATCCTGTTTATAGCAATAACGAACCAAACCCGAAGTTAAGTTTTATCCAAAGTCATTTAGAGCTTATTGATGAAAGTTGATGATGATGACACCAAAAAACAACACAAAAGGAAAATTCATAAGAGTTGATATTTTCGCAAGTGTTGCAGAACTTTTTTAATAACCTAATATTACCCGATTAAAAACTACTTGCTTCAAAAATACATAGATTGGAAATAACACATTCAACATGCTACAAGAGCTCAATGTTAACAAAATTAAATTTAAGTCCCTTAAAGATCCATTTAGTTTTGATAATCATTTTGGCATTTACCACATTCCTTCTCAGTACGACCTTGGCTATATCAGACAAATTAGATGTGCATTAAAATTTAGATTTAACGAACGTAATAGATATGTCCTTTATCAAGAATACTAGAAATCATAAATTGCTGCACATTGTTAGAATCTTGGGCATAAATTCTATTTTATAAATGTTAAAATTATCAGTGCAAAATTTCTAGTCACAGCTCATCTTGATGCCCAGGAATCTCGTTTTATTCATATGAAAAATTCCTTTGTTAACGTCATTAGTTCCTCATTTCCTCTCCAAAGCCCGTGGAAATGCATTTTACCCTGATTTGCCCCTCTCAGCCAAAGTGGTTTTTCTTGTTCTGCGTTTTCATCATCTTTATTTTTATTCTCTCTAAGCTACTGAGGTTTTCCTAGTTTTGTTTCTCACTTTTCAATATTTCTCCTTCGGGGATTCAAACCTTTCAACTCTCACCTAACCAGATTTTAACTACCCCATATTTTGAGTATCAGAAATCCAAATATTTCAAATAAAGGTATGTTATTTTAGAGAAAGTACGTTTAGTATCTAATTCTGTAACTTAAAATATTGTTTGCACTAATTAATTAGCATTTTCAGGATTTGGCCTCCGTACCATTAAGATAAAATATCAAAAAGTGAAAATTCAAGCGTTGGGTCAAAAATCAATCGGTGTTCCATGTATTCATTGTTTAACAATATATTAACACAGTTTTACCAAAAAATTTCTTTCTTAAATTTATTTTTGAAGCAAACTGTTTTGCTACTATGGAGAATTTTTAGCAAAGTTTATGAACCCAAAAATTAACTAAGCATTAATATGGGTAAGCGAATTAAAAACTGAGTCTTAGTTTAAGAGTTCATTTTAAAACAATTTTTAAAAATAAAAAGTTCAAAATATTTACTATAAAACAATTAAACATTTTTTCATTTACGTAAATGACAACAACTAAAGGTAATTAAAATATTTATTTTTTTAAATGATTATTAATGGCACTGCATAACATTTAACAACAAAAATATAAAAAATGTGTTTGAAAGATAATTAACATACAACATCACTGGCAGTGTATAATAAAATAAACATATATTTAAAATATTTAACATAATTCATTTTAATATGATATTATGCACTTTTAATACTGTTAATAAATTGTAACAAAAACTGAAAAACAGACTCTGATTTTCTTTAACCCACTGGCGGTTAAGGAAATGGGCAAAATTGGGAGAATGTTTCTCCCCTACACACAGTTCCCCTATCAGTTAACATGGGAAAACCGGTTTTGCTATGCAGAGAAGACTGCAGGTTAAAATGCGACTTTTTACGTGCAGAACCGTCAGTGGGTTAATTTATAAAGGTACGGAAATGATTATGTAGCCACAATTTTTCAAAATCAGCAAGAATAAAAGTAATACAACATAACGTAACAAAACAGTGAATGACATTAAATTTGTCCTGAATAAATTTAAAATGAGAAATACTCATGAGTGATAGAACTCGTTTTCGCTAGCATTGCAAATTTGGATTCATTTCATAACCATAGATAATCTAAATTTCTAAGAAAATGACTAAAATAGTCGAGAAACATAAAAAAAAAGATAATTTTTTGTAAATTTCTAAAGCTAGGGTGGCGAGATCTCTTTTCATATGTAATAAACTTGTTCACCCTAGAAACCTAATGGTGGAGTATATGTGTAGTTAGAACTAAAAAGTATGGGCACATATCAGATGATTTGTCCTAAACATATGCATCAATTGTGGCAAAAGTATTTATTGAAGAAATTATTTCACTCATAAAGTTCAAAATATTGAAACTGAAAAAAAAAATTTGTGTATATTTTTTATCACTGAAAAAGTTTTATATGCCTGTTTAAGAGGCCGTGACTTAAAAAGATGATACAGAAATTTTCCATAATTTATTCATAAAAATAAGGTGAAAGCTTGAACTAAATTCTCAACTCGCTAACTTATCTCCAGAATTGATAATTATTAATTACAGATAAAAGTTGAACTTAGCATCAAAACTCATTTTAACATTAATTGCTCATTTAATACTTTAATATGAGTACATTTCAATTTTTAAACAGGTAAAAAATTTAATTTTTTTGCAGTTAACAGGAAGAGTTACATTTCTCTCCTATCTTTGCCACTGATACGACAAAAGGAAATCAATAGGAAAAAATTGAGATCAACTTACAGAAAATATAAATATTTAGCAAACATTGCTACTATAATTAATAGAAGATACAGAACCATAATTTAAAAGAAATAACAATAAACATTTTTTAAACTCAACTTTAAAATACTTTAAGATTATTAATTTAAAAAGTTTTGCAAATTCAAATAAAGTATAAATAAATAATTCAATAATATTATTCAAACAACTGATCATTGTTTAACAAAAAATCTATAACCACAAAAGAGCACTAAATAATTTAACATAGAAACTCGGACAGATTAATACAACATTTTAACAAATAAATCATGTTTTAAAATCCACAAGTCATAAATCAACAAGATTACACAGATATATCAAAAATAGAGGCTTAAGCATAAGTAGGCTACAACAATGGTAATATGGCATTGTGCACAATTCTAGCATAAAGTACACAGTCACAGCACAAAGTATAGATCAGAAGACAATATTGAAGTTTTGATTTATAGTAACAGCAAAATAATACTTATAATTACAATGGGTACTTTTATACATTTTTAATTTCCTCTAAATCATAAAATGTCATAAAATTTATTCCATCTCCTTTGATAGGAGATTTTGCAAAAGGACTTAAGAGTGCTAAGTACCAATTGCGACCAAGTACTTGCATAAAATTTAATTTCCAGCCCAAATCATATAGAGTTATATTAGCTCGTTTTTCATGAATAGTCTGCCCCCCACTGATACATTTAATTTGGACAAAAAGTAAATATGTAGTAAGAATGCATACACTGATCAATATCACCTGCGTTATGGCACAAATAAAACCATATATGCTTAAAAAACCAAACAATACAGCAACATGGGGAGCTGCCATGCATAGTAAAGATACTAAAGTGAAACCACCAACTGATTCAACACAGTGAGGCCATTGTAAGATGCTGAAATACATGGAACCTAGAAAATAAATGTGAAAAGCAAATTAACTAATAAAACAATTTCAGTAAACTTCTAAATGCATATACTCCGTAATATAATTGAAGGATATAACACTATATTAGAAATAAGAGCATAAAAAAAACATCAATAATTTGAAAAATTAACAAAAGAAAGGTAGAAAAGTGGGGGTTGCTGCAGTCTGCCTAAGTGAGCAGTCATTTTTTTTTGTTGCTTAATTTCATAATTAGTTCATAATTTCATCATTAGTCATCAACAGATGGACTTAAAACTATAAACAATGTCTTCTACGCATCTCAAAAATTGTTATTAAACTTTCTGTCAGAGCTTCAAAAATAAATTTGATGGTTGCACATAATTGACTTACACTAATTCGCTTCTGATGACTTATGCAATTCCCGACTCTAATGTATGAAAATGGACACAATATATTTTTTTCATTTTTTAAATAAAATGAATTTTTTTTATAATGATCAATAACCTAAACCTACACTTAGAATTTTATTGAATATTTTCAATTTTGCAAGTCACAATATTTCTACATTTTGATCTTTACAAATCACAATTATAGAAAGACAGTGGCTATTGTGCTGATCTTCAGTAAAATATTTCTACCGTCATTCTGCTAATTTTTTACAACAGCACCACTTTACAGGAACTAATCCAACCTTAGAAAAACATCAGTGCAAGGTATACCGAACAGTGGCATTAAACCTTAAAAAAGCAAGTGCAGGGTGAATCGATCTGTACAATGGGAGTAGCACTCACTCTAAAAAAAAAAACCCTATCAGTGTAGGGTATACCAGGTAAAAGTAAACTCATCATGTCAGTCATATCTTTTGATTGTTAAAATTTATACACACCAATTATTAATAAAGCCATTTTTTAAACATTAGTATTTTCCCTAAACTATTGTAAGAAAAAATTTAATCCCAGGTACTAAAAATTATAAGAAAAACACGCTTTTAAAATAATCTTGACTGCCATGATTATCAAAACTAAATGATAAAGGAAAACATAAAAAAAATGTGAATAGAACTCACTCTATGATTATTGGTCAAAAGCAGCAAATTTAAAGGGTCAAATTTGTAGTCAGATCTTGACGAGTCTATTTTTAAAAAAAATTTACTTCAAGTAAAAGAACATGGTAAAATTACACAGTCAATTAGAACAAACAGATATGGATATGGAAATATTTCCATTTCATAAAAAGGGGAGATTTCAATATTGTAATCTGTGGCAGAATAATTGCCAAGTCTTGGCAACTTCAAGGTAGGAGCCCACGAGAAACTAAAAAAAAAAAAAAACATCACAGAAAGGGACCAACTCAAAAGGTATAACTCATAGCCCTCAATTGGCAAACATCTACATGTTTTTCTATTAAAAAAAGATTTCTAGTTTATAATCTATTAGGCATCTTGGCTATTGTAGTTGGCGCGACAGATCACATTACAGAAATATTCCCAATAATATAAATAGGATAGACTATATTTGAGGGTGCCCCTTGATTCTCGCTAAGTTGTGATCGCGGTTGATCGCCAAGCTGGGCGATATTGAAACCCAATCGTGATTCTGATTGGTTTTGATTCTAGCGTTATTTTTAAATGCTCAACGGTATGTGTAATTTCAGAGATCCGTCAGTTCTACGTTGGATACAAGCTGGTTAGTTTACTTTTGAATCTGGTCAATCAGATCGAAGGCATGTGGGCAGTCATAAAAAGGGATTTAAGAAAAAAATGTCACAGCTAGTCCGGTATTCCAGACGCCATTTTCGATTCGTATTTCGTCGTATTTATGTGGTGATGGAGGTACACAGATTCTATTCATGATAAATTTAGACAGTATCTAACTGTTATTAGATAATTCTGTGCACCTAAATCTGAGAATATTCAAACTTAATGAAGGAGTTGTTTTTTTCCTTTTCTTTCTGCGCCTACTCCATTAATTTTTGCTTCGATTCAAAATCCTCTTGGGTTGGGTTTATTAATTTTGCTTATATTGGGTTCATTGCAAGTTTTGGTCGATGTTTTGTTGAAATTTTGCATTTTATTAAAATATCACTATGTTTTGGCTGCCATTTCTGATACCCGGTGTTCCTCGCAAAAAGCAATAGCGTCAAACATAAGTCGCCAATTTCGCCAAGGGGCACCCTCAAGTATATTTTTCCCATATAAATATTCCCAAAAATAATCCCAATAATAAATAATTACATAAAATGATTTTCAAAGTATTTTACAAATATTAGTGAAATCAAAATGCACGCATAAAAATTTAATTCATAGATTTAAATGCAAATTTATTACCAATCATTATGTAGAAGACTGCCATTAGATAATACCGATGATTATAGAATCCCACACAGCAACCAGCAAACATACAATGCTGATCACGTTTTAAAATGCATTCATCGCAAATGGGGCAGTGGTACGATCTTGGTGGAGAGTTCAGTTGACAAAAATGACAATATTTCCAATTCGGTTGGAGAACAGCGGGTAATGTTTTACGTTTGCCAGAGGAATCAACCCGCTGCAAATAATACAAGTTTCCTAATATATTACTGAGGGTAAGGACTTGGAAAAGAAGATGAAGTATAGCAGTGAAATCAAACTCAGTATGGTATTGGAATAATATAGTATTTTCCCAAATAGTTACAGAAGGTATGCCGACGGTCATAAGAACAAACAGTCCTCGATCTAAAGTATTTTTTGGTAAAATATTACTATTACTGAAAGGTAAAACAGGTTCTTTTTCGTCTTTCATTATTACAAAATATATTTTTTACTTAATTACATAAAAATTAATGAGGTGAAAAAATAAAATGGAAATTCAAAAAGGCGGAAATGAAATAGATTTCAGTTCATGATTAAAAAGAGAGAAACAAGCTTTGTTTACCTACAAAGTACATTTGACACTTGAAATTACAGTTAAAGTTCAGAAGGATTATTTTTGGAGGTAACTTAAATTTTTATGAACATAAAGAATTTTTTCTAAAGGAGAAAAATTAGTTGAAATTCAGTGAAATTTTGTTTAAATAAAAATTTTAAATTTTCTAAATATATAAAATATTACACCGCCATCTATGTTTCATAAAAGTAAGCATGATGGCAGCTTATTCTGATTGTTTTGTTTGTGGTTCGTGTTTATAAATTTTTTAGCTCAAATTTTGCAGTTTTGTATGGTTTCCTTATGTGATTGTTATTCTTTACAATGAGTATGAACTTATTAGTAACACGTCTGTATTTTGTCAAGAGTGTTTGATCAAGTTTCGTAGAACTCATTTAGTCTCATATTTTCTAATTATTCAAATTGAAAACAAGTGCTTGACGTAACGAGATGGCTGCAATATTATCTCAAAACAGCTCCACTGGGTTTTGTAAGTATATGTGCATGAAATATTAATGTTTAATAAATTAATTGTTTGAATAAAGTAGTTCTTTATCGTTGTAGTTCTTTGTTCGTATAATTAAAATGCGTATTTTTATAAAAATCATGTTAGGAAGTACGAACTGTTTGATATGGAATTTTATAAGAGAAAAAATAATTTTTATCAGTGATAAATACTTTATTTATGAATGTAATGCAACTGTAAATCAAACATTGAAAAAAAAATACATATGTAGAATTGCTTTCCCTTTTTCTTATCGAAGTGACTTGAAATTTTTTTCAATCAATTAAGTTCTAACTTGCGAAATGTTTTTCAGTTAACGAAGTTCTAACTTACGAAATGTTAAATTTTTTTTTCATTGTTCTTTACTGATCGTTGTGTTAAATGTTCAGTTTATTTTTTGTTTGAAATGAAATCATTTATAATTCTTATATATTTTATCTTATATATATTGTATCTGTGTTAAAATGTCAAATTTCTTCTTTCATTTTGTTTCCTCAATAAATTTTGAAAATGATAAACGAAACTCAAATAAATGATTGATTTATCGCTTTTGCTCAATCGTATTTAAGAATCAAACTACAACCATAATAAAATGCTGTACTTTGTAGTTGACCAGGGAAAAATCAATGAAAAATGTAAATTGCTAACTTTTTTATTATTTTGTTATTACTATTATTATTTTAACATTAAACAAAGTAGACGTTCACTGGAAATTAAACAAAATAACAAATTAGTTGAATTTCCTAGCATCCGGCTTACTGAAAAGTATCTCAAGTGCTTTATAATACTATTATGAATAGACTTGCTTTAACTATAATTAGTTATGAATAGACCACGGTAAGGGTTAATCTGCTTGGAAATATTTGTGCTTCATGATCTACGCCAAAATAATTGCCATGTCTTGACGACTTTGGGTATAAAATGGTAGGAAGAAGGGGACCTGATTGAAAAGTATAACATAGTCACCTCCAAGCGAACCTCAAAAAAAATTTTTTTTTGAAATTTGCAAGTTTAAAATCTATTTGGTGCCTTAATGTTTATAATTGTCCAGACAGTTCATGATACCAAAATATCCCCATTGGGTTGAATACATTGATTAATTAATATAAAAAATGCTGTCATTAAATTTTTACTAACAGAAGATTTTCGTACCTGTACTAAGAAAAATTGCATAAGATTTCGCTACAGCCAGGCAGTGGTTCACAAAAGCTAAACAAAGGAAAAAAAAATGTAAAGGGGACTATCCCAAAAGCTATAATTTGTAGGTGCCTCTGGGAAAATTAAAAACTACTTTTTTAAAAATAATTTTTAGTCAAAAATACAAAAGTTTTTTGTTGCTTTAAGTTTTATAGTATTCACAAATTGGTACTGAAATATTCTTCTAATTAATTTAATTTTATTATATTCCAATGGCTATTTTATTATTTCTTAAATTTTCTAAGAAAATTAGATGTTCAATTTTTTTTTTATCTGAATCATTCTAACATAAATTTTGGTAACAAACAAAGAGCAACCCACTTTCAAGAATTGAAATTTTTCTTATAATTCTTATAGAAATTTTAAAAATCTTGAATTGTGATTTATTGTTTATTTATTTTAAAATTTTTTGCTTTACAATACTTTAGATAAAGCTCCTGTATCGAAAGGAATTCTAGGCTGTATGTTTTTAACTTCTTGTGCCCTGAATGTGCCTCTTCTTGCTCACATCAAACAATATGTAGTGTACAATATTCATAACATTTTTCATAAATATGAGGTAAATATCTTATTTATTATTTTACAAAAATTCTAAAATTTTCACTGTTATTAGAAATAAGTTATTACTACGAACTGTTTTTTATGATTTATCACAATGAAAACAATTTCACCATTTATATTAATAATAGTTTTTTGTAACAGTTCTCAACTAATGTATTTTAGTGTTATAGGCAAAACGGGCTATAATTCCATGAAATGAGTTAATATTTTTAGCCTATTTGTTGCTCATTTTTAAACAATAATTTTACATTGCTTATGTTATGTAATTTTTCTCTTTAACCATTTGGTGAATTTATTATTATTCTGTTAGTACAATCATTCAGATATTGAAAGAAAAATATTTTTATAAATTTTATGAAAAGAAACATTTTAATTTTTTTTGGATTGTAAATTGGCTTTAAATATTTAAGTTTAAGTTCCTATTGGAAGATTCCTGCATAATTAATATTATATATTTTTCTCAACATTAAAAATTCTTCAACTGAGTTATCATATACTCTACATATTTTTAATTATGTAGTATAATATGTTATGTTGGGCAAAGAAATGAAAAAGAACTTATCATTTGTACTTTGAATGCACAACAATGTTTTCTTAATATATATATGTAAAACACAATAAAGGGGAAAATGATAATAAAAAAAGAGGGAATAACGAAGAAAATTAAGAAAAATAAGTGCTATTTACTGCGCATAAGCTGCAAGTATATAGAAGTCATAAAACAAGACGAAAACATGGAAAAAGTTGTAAAAATTTTTTAAATAAAAAAAAATATTAACAAAAATTTAAAAAAAAATTACCTATCTTTAAAAAAAAATCTTTACATCTTTTTCCATATTTTCTTTATATTTTTAACTTATATATATATATATCAAACATCANTATATATATATAAAGTATTCATAATAATGCTGTTGAATGCAACATAGTGAAGAAGAGAGTGAATTTCAGAATGGGCTAACCTGCAGTAGTGTTCCAATTTTTTTGTCACTTTCTTGTAAATTATTATTACTTCTTTGGTTGATATTATCCTCAAATGAATCCTCATCACTTTCTCGCTGTATATTGTGACCAATAAATGGAAATGGCCAATAAATAGAAATGACTATAATAGAAATGACAATACTCAATGACCAATAAATAGAAATGGCCAATAAATAGAAATGACTATAATAGAAATGACAATACTCAATGACCAATAAATAGAATATTGCTTTTTAGATAATACGAATGATTAAAGGATATGGTTTTCTATGATTGCTTAGTCCCCCTTAATAAAATTGATAAACTTGATGCTTTTAAATAGCTGGAATGTTTTAAATCTATCTGCAAGTTTTAAAGTGTTAGGGGAAAAATCATGTAATATTTGTTGCTAGGAAGCAATGACACCACTAATTTATAATGTTAATGTTTTTTTTATTGATTTTTAGTTTTGGACTTTTTTTTCCTGTCTTTTTATGAACATGCAATTTTTTTTATTTACCTAATTTTTTTTTAACTATTATTTTCAAAGTCTCATCTTTAGAAAGTAAAGATTATGCATTAAAAGATCACACAATTAAATTTAATTCACTGTAAAAAGCAATTTCTGAAATGAAACATTATGTGTTTTTTTAGGATGAAACTAAACTAATATTTTGTTTGTAGCCAACACCAATATGATAGTTTATTTTAAAACAGAAAGTCTTAAGCAGTAGTGTTTCTAAGATTGGTTCTAATTTTTTATGTACTTTCATTTTTTTATGTTTATGAAGAGGGAATGTTACTGTATATTTTTTATTCATATCTAATGCACAATAAAAAGTTCAATTTTGATAAATTAAAAAGAAAGTGACTTTGCTTTATTATCTAAATTTTGTTAATATCTTTTCTGTTGTGATATTTTAAATTACAAAATTGATACTACAGTTTCGTGATATAAGCTTCAAGTAAATATCCTTTTCTTATCAGTTTAATAATAAATACTGTAAAAATGTTCTACAAAAATGAGTGCATAGAATGTGAAATTTATCTTAAAATGCTTTCCACATTAGACAGAAGTAATAAGACTTTAAAAAGTATTTAAAATTTCAAGTATATTTTCTAATGTTACCCAAAACACCTTCAACTTAAAAAACGTAATTTAACTAATAAATATTTTTATTACATTATCAAATTTGCTTACTTTACATAAACTTTTTCAGTGATATGAAAACACTTAATAAATTTTCTCTTTCAGATTTGGAGAGTTGTTTCATCTAAACTAACATTTCTTGAAACTAAAGATTTAGTATGTGGATGTTTGCTTATTTATTATTTCAGAATATTTGAACGGAGATATGGTTCCCATAAATTTTCAGTGAGTTTATTATTTCTAGTCCTTTAAAGATTGTTAATTTCATTTTCCTACTATTGAATTTTTTTTAATGATTATATATATATATATCTATTTTATATTTTATTTTAGTCATACTTGATGGCTGCTTGTACAGTATCAACTCTTCTTGAATTAATATTTGTATTTTTTCTTAATAAGTTTGATGCACAAATTACTTATCTCCCTACAGGACCGTAAGTTGCAATATATTTCCTCTTTAAATCTAATTATTTAAGAAAAAAAATGATTTATTGTTTTTAATTGCACAGTTGTTAAGACACTGAGCTATTATTGTATACTGAGTATCAGGGCACCTGGAAAGTCATTGAAATTCAATAATTTCAACCTTGATCAAAAATTGTCATGGAAAGTCATGATTTTCAGTGATAAATGCTAAAAAACCATTGGACTACCAGTTCTTCATGGATTTGAGGTATTGGAGCACTTAATCATCTCAGGCGATTTGAAAATCTCACATCGCAATTTGTATTTACTTGATTTGAAAATAACACATCATGATCTGCATTAGAGTGGTTTAAAAATACCTCACTACTATCTGCATTTGTGTGATTTAAAAATCAAACATCGTGAGCCAATGTTGCTCCCACAGTAAGGACAGATAGTATAGAGAATGAAAGTACATTCGAACCCAGAACCTCTCTGATGCAATTCTAGTCCCTTGGCCCCTACACAGTCTGGTCGGCTGTCTCTGAAATGTATTAAATTATATTTTTATTACATTTTTAAAAAAATACAATTAAATTTGTCGACATTAAAATCAATGTGCTTTTAATTTTGTTTGTATATACCATAAATGCATAACCAGTTTTGGTTAACGAACCACAAAAATAAGGAACGTTATATTGAGAGCCAAAAATAACTTAAGTCTGTAATCGTAAAAATTCAAGATATATTTAGATTGTAGTTAAAACTACTAATCTGAAATACACTTGCATAATTAAATTTTTGATGTAATAAAGATGATGTAAATCTAATAAATATATTTTCTCTTATTCTTAAATATATTTTCTCTTATTATCTTAATTATTCTACACATAGTTGGATGATTAAAAAGCAAACAAATGGCAAATAAAAATTTAAAAAAAGGAAGAAACAAAATTTCATTTACCTCAAAAGTTAACTTTTACTATTATTTAGTTAGGAAATGAAATTTGTTACTTTTCCTGATATAGTATCAGATTAACGGAATTATAATCTTAAAATCATATGCTTTATTATTTATTTTCCAAATAAGGAATCTCACCCATTTATTTGTAAAAATTCATAATAAATTAACTTTTACTGTTAACACTGAGCCAGCGCCATTAACAGAACTTTCAAAATTAAATGGTTACAAACTGGAACTATCAGAAAGAACCGAAATAAATCAGTAACTTGCAGTACAAAGTACAGTCTTCAAAAGATTTTGTATATTACTTTTATTTCATATTTCAATATTTTTTCCATACTTTTATTAGTATTTCAGACAGTTCAGGTGCCAATTTTGGCTTGCAGGTCATAGGCTCCTGGTATATATGCAACATTATATTCAGTTTATTAAAATGAACAACTCGCACAGTTCAATTTATTTAAGTTAGAAATATAGTTAATAATTTTAAAATTACAATCTATAGTTTAAGATATACTAACTGAAGGAGTGTTCTATTCTGAATTTGAGTAATTATCTTTAAAGTTTACATGCTGACAAAAGGCAGTAAAAATCCTTAAATACATTTACTACTTTCATTTACTGAGATTTGCAAAATTTAGAGACTTGAGAAATGAAATAAGTCAGTTTTGTAAAAGTAAGACCTTTTCCTACCAAAAGTCCAAATTTCTGTTTAAAATGTAACTTAGAATCTTCATTCAATTAAAAAAAAAAATTTTTTTTTTGTAACATGAAAAATTATTTAGTATTATTTCTTTTCTATTTGTTGTTATATTTTACTGTAATATGTAAAAGTTGTATTAATTGTTTCCTTTTTTAGGTACAGTTTAATATTTCCTTTATTTGCTAATTATTTTATGGACATTCCTCGAGTTGCTCAAACTTATATACTGGGCATTCCAGTTACTGGAAAAACTTTAACTTACTTAGTGGGACTTCAGGTAAATTAAGTTTTATATTTAATGATCTGCATAAGTAAATTTTATGTTCATAGTCCTATTTTCATTTAGGCAAGCTTTGAATTCACAAATTTTTCTGATATTATTAGAAAACATGAATTTCACTTTTGCTATTCCAATAACAGAAAGAATATCTAGTAGGCAAATTCATTTCTCACTAACCTGGTCTCCATAGAATAAAGCTAGTAAAATGTAAACCTGGTATTTTGTCTAAAATGTTAAAGGTATTCTGAATTTTCAATATTATAAAATTTGTAGAATCTCCTAATTGGTGATTTAGGCGTTTGAATGTATTTGGTAATTTAAAGATGTGTTTAGTAATTAGAAGCTAAAAAAAAAAAAAACAAGTTTTTATTTTGTGGTTCTGTATAAAAATATTTAGTTTTACAAGCAGACAACTTAAATGTATATTTTAGGATGTATACTAATTATTGAACTTATTTATACAAAGAACTGCTCAATGTTTCATTTTCAAGATCAAGTAGCTCTTAAAAATCCTATTTCTTCTCCTTAAAATGGCGCATGATAAGTGCACATTTAAGTACTCATTTTTTTGACAAGCTTACGTCATATTGATTCCATCTTCTTTCAGCAGTTATTGCTATGGATTTCCAAGTAGTTTATTTCAAATGTAAAATTTTTAATAAGAAATTAATTTGACTCACTTGATTTATGACGATTTCATTTCAAAGTCAGATGGTTCTCGATAGTTTTCTGGCAATAACGCTACAGGTTTCCACATGACTTTTAAAACCTTGATTTTTTTGTTGTTGTATATATTGCTTTGGGTAGCTTCATTTGCGACGTGCCTATTGTTAATTTACTTGATCTTGTCATTGCTATTTTGACAGTTATGTCCATCTATATTTGACTCATCACTTTTTGATGTATCCAACAATTTATCATTAATTCTTGTGACTTTGTTTATCGTTTTATTTATAGTATCGCTACAGGTTTCCTCAAGATTTTTAAAATCCTATTTTTTTATTACATTATTTATGATGGGATGCTCAAATTTTTAAAGCGACGAATTTGTCATTCGTGTATGTAATCTTTATACAGTGTAACGTCCCATATCCGGACGTCCCCTTTCCGGAAGGGTCGATTTCCCGGACACTTTTTAAAAATCAAAATAAACAAACATTTCTTCATCTTCCCCTCTCCTTTAAAAAAAAAACGAAGTCTTTTGACAGGTTTTTCCCCCTCTCAGCTTCTAGAGATCTATGCATTGAACCCATAAATCAACAGAAAAGAGAACAGAAGATCTACTAAGACCATGACTATCGTTTTATTTATAGTATCGCTACAGGTTTCCTCAAGATTTTTAAAATCCTATTTTTTTATTACATTATTTATGATGGGATGCTCAAATTTTTAAAGCGACGAATTTGTCATTCGTGTATGTAATCTTTATAGTATTTGTTAATTACTATCGTCATACTGGCATGAACTCTGATAACAGTAAAAAAAAGTTTTATTATTAGATTTATCTTTATTATACAAAAAGAAGTATAGTGGTATTGTTAATGTGGAGTATAATGATAAGGATTGTGTTAAAATTTACTTGAAATATCTGAGTACATGTCAAGTAAAGACAAATATCCGGTTTACATAACCGATCACATCATGGAAAAAATCTTCATGCTTAGAAAAGCTTGAAATATTTTAATAAAATATTATTTAGTATTACCTTTATGATTAATGTGATTTATTTTAGCTTATGCAGGCTACTTTAATTACTTGAATATTATTATTAAACAAACCTACAAATATGTTTAGAAAAAAAAAGTGTTATTAATTAATTAGTGTCATCCAAGGAGTAACATCTAGTGTTCCAAAGTACAAGACCTTTTGTAACTTGGACCATTTTTTTTTTACTTTAAAAAATAATTTTTTTCTGAAGAGCATGATAGAAATTGTTCATAAAATTACATTAATAGAAAACTGTATATTGCATTACCCGCAAAAGTTTGAAGTTTTTAAATTATTACTTTTTACATTGAAANCTTTAAAAAATATTTGTTTTCTGAAGAGCATGATAGAAATTGTTCATAAAATTACATTAATAGAAAACTGTATATTGCATTACCCGCAAAAGTTTGAAGTTTTTTAAATTATTACTTTTTACATTGAAAAAATAAAAAATTAAGATTAATTCTGGGCACAATGCTGTCTCTTTTGTAATGATATTAGTGTTGGGTTCAGTATAACTTTTATTAATCCTTAATTACTAAATTAAGCATATTTTATATTTCCCAAATTATTAAATATTTTATTTTTATGCACTGCAACTTCAATATTTGTTATTGTGATTTACATATCATGCATATTTTGTCAATTTCAATTTTCTTCTTTTTTTTAAATAATCTTTTTGAGTTGGAATAAATTGAATTAAAGAGTCAATTGTATTAAAATGTTTATGTTTGGTAAATATGTAAATGTTTAGTAAATATGTTGTTATAACTCATTTCTATTTTTACTTCAATCTTTTCCAAACTAAAATTGGTTGTTAAATTCTATAAAAAAGTTTCATTCTTATTGTAACTATTTCTATGTATGTGTTTATAAAGTATGTCATTATTAGAGAAGTAAATAACATCATAGCTCTTTTCATTTTATTTCAGATAATGAGTAGTAATAAAGAATCCATGATTTCCGGTTTTTGTTCCTTAGTAAGTTTAAGATTATGTTCTGTTTTTTAAACATAGAAAATTTTTATTTGTTATATTTAATAAAGAAATAAATTAGTCTATTAAATTGTGAGTAAATTAGATTATCCAGTATTAACTTTTTTTTTATAAATTAGGTAATATATACTCTTAAATTTAATTTTTTTAAAATTAATTGCCTCATTAACACATTTCAATCTTTTAGCTTGCTGGAGTCATCTGTAGGAATAATTTCCTGCATGTTCTAGATGTTATCAAAGTTCCAAAATTTATAGCAAAGTTTTTTAGTGTATGCCTTGGTTGGATACTTGATTCCTCACCACCATCTGATAATTCAGTTCCAATGGGTGCCACTTTAGAAATTCAAAGGCAACAACAGCTGGAGATGATGGAACAGCAATTATTGCTTTCCAGAGCTCGGGAAACTCGAGATAGGGGCAATACAGGGGTAATTTATTTCTATAGCTTTTAATTGTCCTTTATTTAGTAAGCATTTTTGCATTAGAATGTATTTACTATTATGTTTTTGTTTAAAATTAATTTGTAAAAAAGTTTAGATAGCACAATCATCAATGGGAATTCCCATTGATGTTTAAATGACATCAATGGGAAGGCAAATAAACATTTGTCCTTATTATGGGGAATTCATTAATTCTTTTCTTTTTTCAATGCTTAAAGAGTGAAGAATTATCAAGATTTCTTGTTTCCCATTGTGGTGTTTTAAAGGAGTACACAGGGGAACAGCATACCCCTGCTAGTTTTTCAAAGAAATCCCATTTTTTTTGGGTCAAGTTTGGCTGTTTTTTTATTAACTATGAGGCTTCGCCCCCTGCTCGCTGGCGCTCGCCAACCCCCGGAACTGCTTTTGCAGTTCATTTCGGTTTGCTTCACAATCCGATGCTCGCTTTGCTCGCTCATTGGATACGTTCCGAAAACTTTTAACTGTAGAAAATTCTAAACCTGTGCATTTCAATATTAATTTGAAATTGCAAACAGTTCGCATATTTTTCTTAATCACACTAATTTAAATTTCAGTTGTTGAGAAAAGTAACTGTTGTAAGTTTTGTTTTAAAGTTTTTCCCACCAGAGGGCTAAAACCATGTGTTGTAAAACAATATGAAATAGTACTGAAAGCCGGATGTAAAGTATTGGCTTCGATGAAGATAATTTTGTGAGAATTTTTTTGATAATTTGGTGAGAATTCAACCGATTAGACATATGATATGCTCACTACGTTCTCTTGCGCGCCGAAGCCTATAAATTAAAACATATTAGCGTTTTATATAATATAGATCAGCCATATGATGCTCACTTCGTGCTCTTGCGCGCCGAAGCCTATCAGTTAAAAATGAAATCTGTTGCCAACGCGAGAAAATAAATATCATCCGTTTTATTGATACATACGTATTAGCGTTTTATATAATATAGATAGATAGATGATTCTCACTACGTGCTCTTGCGCGCCGAAGCCAATCAATTAAAAATGAAAACTGTTGCCAACGCGAGAACAAAAATATCATCGGTTTTATTGATACATACGTACGTATTAGCGTTTTATATAATATGGATAGATAGATTAGCCATATGATGCTCACTACATGCTCTTGCGCGCCGAAGCCTATCAATTATGAAAACTGTTGCCAACGCGAGGAAAGAAATATCATCGGTTTTATTGATACATACCTATTAGCGTTTTATGTAATATAGATTGTAATTTTTTATTCTTTTAAATTTGATTAAAAGGTAAAAGTTCTATGTGTAGTAATTCTAACTGAACAATATGATCACACTCTGAAAAATTTAAAAATGTATCATTAGTTTTATTTGCTTTAATTTACTTTAGTTTTATTAATTCAGTTGTTACACGGATATTTAATATATAAATATTTTCCGACAATTGAAATCAGTTAAAACATTTTGCTCCTTCAATCTTTATCTAGCAGTTTTTAAATTTTTTCTGGAAAGTAGCTAACTTGTTGTATTGCTGCGGGTGTATATGACTTGAAACACTAAATCCAGCCGCATAGGTGAAAACAACTTTTTAAAGAAAAATGTTTGGAAATTTATCTTTAAATTCTAAATAGATTTAAAATGAATACATACGTATAGTAGTTGTTTTTTGTTATAACCATATTTTATTTAGCATTAAATTATGTTATGAATTCAAATAAAGTGACCAAAACCTTACTTTAAAGTGGTAATGATTAAGAGAATTTTAAATTAAATGCAGTTAAAAACCAAAATATCTATTATAGTTCAAAGTTTTTTTTTTTAATTCTTTTTTTTTCATAAAAAGAAATACCTAGTATTTTTCCACTGAAAAATTTGTCATGTTCACGTGTTCTAACTATTTTATTTGCAATTTTTGATAAAAGAAAATAATGTGGACTAGTGGGCTGCGCCCCCTGTTCGCTAACGCTCACCAACCCCCAGAAATTGCTATGCAATCTTATATGGTTTGTTTTGCAAACCAAGCTCGCTTCGCTCGATACTAACTTTGGTACATTGCAAATGCACAAAATTCTGAGAATTCAAGACAATCATTCAAATCCATATAACAACTTTTTTTTTAAAAAAAAAATTACATCTTTTTAGTAAATACTAAGTCATTAAAATAAATTTGAATTCAAATAAATGACATGTAATTCGTTAAACCTATTAGAAATGTGCTATAGTATAAAATCTTAAAGCGTAACAGCACGACTGAGACTCATTTTTCAATGAATAACTAATAACAATAATAAAACAAATAAATTCGTGATATAAATCAAAAATCGTCAAATAAATTCGTAATATATAAATTCGTGAAAAAAAGCGCTTTCGACAAAATACTAAAATAGAGATCTATCGACAAAGACTACTCACTTCTGCCTAGCTTAATAGTATGAGATTGCCGCAGCTGATAGGGTGAATTTCGGAAGAGATCACATTCGGTGAGAATGCTCTCTCTGGTTATTTCAGTTTCCATTTTTAAAAGCGCTGTATGTTGAGCCACCTCATCTAGATTTGGCATGTGACATTTTTAGCGGCAATCATTGGTCGATTTTCTAGCGTTACCATTCGGGGAGTTGTAATGAGGCTTTTTTTTGACGCCGTGTAAGAGAAATATATATATAGATTGTTTTACCTTTTAAATTTTATTTAAAATACATAATTTTCCTCTTCTGCTCTCAGTGTTTTTAAAAATGTAGTTCCTAATCAGTTTATTTAAGTTAAATTTTGTGAATTTGTAAAGTTAAATTTTGATTGCTCAGGATTATTATAATTAAACTTAGTTTTTATGAAAGAAATTTAAGATGTTTTCTTTGTTGATGTATTCATAATTTTTTTTCTAGCGCCCCCATAATAGACAGCAAATGGCTCAGGGTTATGCTGAACGACTGGTACCTCCTAACAATGAAGGAGGTTTATTTGGTAGTTTTCATAACCAGAATATATGGAATAACGCATTTAATCCCACTTCTTTACTCAGAAGAAATTCACAGCCTGATGAAGATGATCCAGCTGGTAAACTGTTTTTTCATTAAATGATTATCCCTTTACACCTATGTAACCTTTAACAATAATTAACGTATATTTAATTATTTTTAAAACCTGCGCCAACTATCTATTTTTACTGATTTTGGATATGGATGATTTTGCTAATTAACCCTTCAAGTATAACCCTACTGAAATTTCTTTACCGTACATTAATATAAGGGAGGGGGACCAGTTTCACATATGCAGGAAAGCCTGCAGCTTAAAGTTTTGGAAAAGCTGAGAAAGGGTTCCAGAGGTTAAAAAGGCTCTGCACAATTGCTTATTAAATTAAATAATGATTATACTTAAATTTAAAATAATGTACAGTTGATGTTTGATATAACAACCCTCGTTGTTTGGGAGGAAATGGATGTTAAAATGTGAAGTCATTATACAGTGAGGGCACAAAAAAGCTGAACATTAACTTATAGCTAAAAAAATATTTGACTAATTTTCATAAAGCACTGCTTTGTTTTAATAAGAATTTAGTAACTAACAGAAAAATTTATAACAATGCAACTTTTTTTAACATTAATAGACACATAAAAGTACCTGTTAAAATAATATTTTATTGCTGAAAAATGCATTAAAATTAATATGCTAGATCAGAATTGCTAATTTTGATAAATTACTATGAAGATTACTATGAAGTATTACTATGAATTACTATTACAAGATTACTATGAAGACCATGTATGTTTTAACTCAATTGCACAAGGGAACTGACATTTTAAATAAATAGTGAATACAATTTTCAAACAAGTGTGATTGATAAATTTATTGCATTTGAAAGAAAGCTACTACACATCCTTGTGCCTCAATGTTTACCTACCCCTTTAGAGCTCAAATTTTGATTATGTGATATAGTGACAATTATTATTTTAATTATTTCCAAGTAACTGTACATATTATATGGTTTTAAGTAAAAGTAGTATTTTTTTGTATAATGTTTTAAGTAATAGTAGTATTTTTCGCATAAGGTTTCAAGTAATATAATTTTTTATAGGCTTCAAGTCATTTTTTTTCTAAGATTTCAAGCAATAGTTTTTTTTTCATGAGGTTTCAAGCATTAGTTTGTTTTATGGGTTTTATTCAAGGTATAGTTAGTGTCAGGAGTAGTAGTTAGATGTCTGGCAAAGGGCCAGTGAAAAAAAAAAATTGTTTGTAACTTGTCTCTTTGGCTATGACCTGATATATGCCTTATGCTGTGCATTGGAGCGGGGTCATGCACTGGCGTTGTTGTTGTCTTGTTTTGCTGGTAAAAGATTCTAGGAGTTTTACAATTATTGTGTACTAACATCAGAAAAATAATAACTTATAAATAATGGTTTAAATGACTTTTTTGAAAATTTTTTTAAAGTCAAATAATTAAGTTTTAGTTCCTATATTCTAATGAATAGTTTAGTTCGGACATTTAAATAACATTGTATCTATGGATTATCAAACATGAGTCATTAAAATCGAAGAGTTGTGTAATGAGGGGTCGTACTTAAGAGTATAGGATTTATTTTATAAAGAAAATTTATAATATTTTACCATCTTTTTTAAAAAATTATAAACATTTGCATTTAGTTACATGAAGGTGTTACATTTTAAATTTATATCAAGTAGTTGAAGAAAATTGATAAATAAATATTTTGTGCATTAGATTTTTAGTTCTATTTATAAAAATATGCAACTATACTTATATTGAAACACAATTGTTAAAAGGAATATTTCGTGCATTAGATTTTTAGTTCTATTTATAAAAATATGCAACTATACTAATATTGAAAAACAATTGTTAAAGGAATATTTCGTGCATTAGATTTTTAGTTCTATTTATAAAAATATGCAACTATACTTACATTGAAACAAAATTGGTAAAGGACAAATGTAACAAATAGTAAATAAGATGGCAGTTTTATAAATAAAGAAATATAATTTTTTGTAGTTGCATAAAACTGTCTTATTTATTTGTAAAACATATTCTTATACAAGAAATATGGTGTATAACTAAGTAAATCATTCATTAAATCCGGCTTGTTTAGTTTTAAAATCCTATCTGTAATAATGCTTTTAACCAGTGAAAAAAAATAACATAATCACATAATTCTGAATTGTGTTATAAAATGTTTTTCAAAGCTCCATTACAAATTACATGATAAATGAATAAATGCATTGAATTGCTCTCTAAGCTTGCGTATGATGTAGTTCTATAAACGAAGAAAGCTGCTTATGTGTCATATAACATAGTTGCCATCTTTCCATTATTTTGTTTTTTATTTCACCTCGAGAAAAGGAAAGAAAAAAAAGAACTCTGAGCATGGATTTATATAAAATTTTTGTGTTTATGAAATTTCAGTGCAGTTAGAATTTAATATAATTAAAATTTTAAATTTAGTTTTCTGTAATTTGCTATTTTCTGGTTTATCAATTTGCAAGACGGAATCTTAAGAATCTTAATCCCATTCTTATCTTAAATTCCTCTTAATTCCATTATACACTTAGAAGAATCTTAAATTCCATTATACACAGAAATATCTAAATTTTTGATTTTCTAATTTTGAAACTGTTTTTGTGTTTTTTCGTAATGTTAAAATCTTTATTTTCAGAAGAACTCGCAGTTTTTATAATTATTCTGTTTTTTTCTTTTTCTTAAACATGTATTTCACTTTTTTTAAACAGGTTTTTATTGTGGTGGAAATTTTTTATTTTACATATTTCTAATGTATAATTTCAAATATGTTTCCAACATGTTAAGGCAATTCTTTATTTATATACTTTTAGACTTTTTGTCAGAAATATCATGCACACGAAGGGTCAAAAATTAATATTCAGTCCAGGAAAAAACAAAAATGCTCTCATAATTTTAAGAACCATTAGTGAATAGGCAGAACTAGAAAAGTCAAAACCTGTTTTTGTTTTTTTGAAGGAAACAAGAAGTAGTTGAAAGGTGATTACAAAATACTAATTAGACAATCAAACTGTTTTTGATGTTTTAAGCCTTAGTAAGAGAATTGCTTTTCTATGCAGTGCTTGATCATATTTTAATGGCATTTCTTACTTCCCTCAAATATTAGTAGGCAACCAAATGATTTGAATTCTTTTACTTTTACTAAAATACATATTAAGGTTGGTTAATGAAGAACTCCCTACCTGTTAATTTGTTTAATTCAATGTTTCTCCACAATTGAAGATTTATATCTTTTATAGATACTGAAATGGCTAATGGTATAAACCAGAATCATATAGATGCTTCTAGTCCTGTGCAAGAAGATCAGGTAAATATATTTGATATTTATTCTAGATTTGCTTATTTCAAAAGTACTTGATATTATGATGCTTCTTTTATAATTTAATAATCGTAGTGGATTGTTTTTCTTCTCGTTATAATTGAACAAAAATTATATTAAGGTTTATATATTCTAATACATAATAGGTAATACTTTTATTAAGAGAATATATTTATGCGCACACACACAATGGAACCTTATTAACTCAAAATTGCTTAACATAAAATATTGCTTTACATGAAACACTTGTTGGGTCCAATGAGTCAACTTTCAATTAGTACAGTACAGAACCCGTTATCTGGAAATCAAAAAACCGGAAAACCAAAAAACCGGAACGAAATTCGATAAATTTTCCGCCATTTTTTAAAAAAAATTTTTTTCTTAAGATTTTAGGATTTTTCTTTCTTTTTTGAAAGATGCTTACCTTACCATGATTTTGGAAATAATCATTAATGAATTACTTCATCGTTTTTTCTTCTTTTTAAGATTATTTCCAAATATATTTTTTTTTAGTTGGGTTTAACAATAAAGAAACGGCTTTTTGTAGCGATTCAGAAAACCGGAAAAATCAGTTATCCGGAATAGCGAAGGTCCCGATCGTTACGGATAATCGGTTCCCTACTGTATTGTATTTTGCAGGCTTAACTAAAATTTTCAAGCTTATTATTATTATAACATAAATGGAAATTGGAAATGTAGATGTAAGCATAGATAATAAGTATCTGATTAAAATGATTGAAAAATCATATAAAGACTATTTCAGCTCGAAATAAAATGTATAAATTGTTGGTATGTACGTTATATCTTTCATTCGTTATTTTTAATAAAGTAGTTAAAAATTTAGTAAAAATGTTTAAGCTTATTTTGTATGGTACACAATTAATTGTATTGTTTACATACATCAACATCTAATTAGTACATAATGTGTATTGTTAGTAGGTAATAAATTGTTTTTCTGATGTATCAGATAAGATTAAATTCAGTTAATGTTAAATAATTATGATAGTTCCTCCAATTTCGCATTAACAAGGTTCAACTGTATTGGGTTTTTTCGAATATATCCGAATCATCAAGGCATATAATAATTATTTTTATTCCTTGTAAGGCTCTTCATTAAAGTCTTTACTGCTGACAGCCAATGTGGGTCAATTTTAATATTAGTTTCATGGATCATTTAAGGAGTTTTAATTGAGAACTGATTCTTTAGTTTGGGCATGAATTGACTTACTTAAATTGCAGAAAATAAGATGTTAGATTTAATTTATAGGAGTGTGTAAGATTACCACAATGGAATTGTGGCAAATAGCCGTTAGTCATTTTATTCTGGAAGAAATCTAATTATGTATGTTGACGATTGCTTTATATTGATTTCTTTAAAATGAAATGTTATATTCCAGCTCACAGCTATGTCGTGACATTCATTAACACTTAGATTTGAAATTCTTTTAATTCTCTATCTCACTAGCAATATTTCTGATGAAATATGGCTGTGCTTAGTGAAGCTCTTGTGCAGAATTTGTTGATTTCTTCCTGGAAAAGTCAATGAGTTTTATTTTTGAAATTGACTGGGAACTCTGATATATTCAATGTGCAATAAACATGAATGAATATTTATAAAAAGTAATTATGAATAATTTTCAAAAATGAGCAATTTTTTCCCCTCTTTGCTTTCTTTCTCTTGTAATAATATAAAAAACTGTAGTTTACTATGTAATAACATTAGTATATTTTTGAACTATGCTAATTTACTATGAACTATTATATTACTATGATTATTACTATTATTACTATGAACTATGCTAATTTACTGTTTTATAGGTGAAAACTCTTGTGGAGATGGGATTTGAAAGGGAGAATGTTATCCGTGCCCTCCAATTATCAAACAATGACTTAAACATGGCGACTGTGATTCTTCTGAATGAAAGCTGAGAAACATGATTCTTGTAATTCTGTAAATAATTCAATTGAACTTGAGCTAGATAAACTGAAGCGAGTTACTTTTTAAATAAACCAAAAACAAGATAACTTGTACAGTTTAGTTCTGGATACTTTATAATTAGTGATATGTTATAATAACCACTCTTTAGGACAAAAAACTCTTAAAGCTCTGAGATTTCTTCAGTTTTGAGCTGGAAATGGATTTATTCTGCCTGATGAAGTATATTCCACTGCTGTTTTAAAAGAGTGATGTTTTAAATTTATTTCAGCTAGAGAGTTTATTCTTTTAACCCTTAAACTCCTCATTCTTTTTTTGAATTTTGTTTTGAGTTTTTATATCAAGGGCTTTCAATTAATTGCAAAATTTTATTTAAAAGAGAACATCATAGTGATAGCCTAAAAAAAAAGAGTGTTTTTCTTTATGAATTTAAGGATATCATATTAAATCAAAATATATAGCTTCTTATATTTTTTTAAAACTAAATTTGAAATGGTCAATAAAATAAAATATTTAAAATTAAATTCTCTTCTGGTAGTTAAAGCAAGAAAATGTATCTGAAAACAGAAACATAATTTTACCGATTATTATCTTTTAATTTATGTTGCAGATAGGATTTATTTTTACTATTTTTTTACTTACATATTTAAAACAATTGGAGGTTATTATGAACAAAAAATACTTTAAAAGTCAGAGTTTAACAATTATTCAGTCTGAAAACTATTTTTATACAATTTTGAAAATTTCTATGTGTAATGGCAGTTATATTATTTATGTATATGCTATGAAACCATTTAGTGAATACAATGAAAATTGAGTTACTGTGGCTGCGAGTATAAAAATTATAAAACACTGCTGTGAGAAAATGCCAGTTAAAGTTTATATAAACTTATTTCAGCCATACTGACGTCAATGTAAAACGTGACCTGCCTTTCTTATTAATATGAGTTATTATTTTTACTTTTGAGACAAAGACCATCAAAATATGCAAAGTTTTCACTGTGGTGTTCTCCATATATTGTAAATATTTTTTTCTTATTTCAAAGGGTTATGTGTAATTTAAATATGTTGAAGCACTTATGAAATATAATGATTGTTTTTTTAAGCATTAATGTTGATTTACTCACATGGCTGTAGTATTAACGACCATTATCAAAATTTAAATTTCATAATTGAAAAAAATCTAAAAACATTTGTTAAACAAAATGTGAGTATCTTTGTGCTTAAAACATGGTGGTTTAATGGAAGCAATTCCATTCTATTCTAGTCTATTTTTTATTGATTAAAGTTATTGACATTAGATTTTCTTGATTTAGGCCAAAGATATATTCTAATTAAACTTTAAAGCATGATAAATTCCATTTTTACCATAAATTTTATGGCTACTTTTTTTTAAATTTGGTTTTTACTTCAATCATTATTTTCCTTGATCTTTTCATTCAAATTAGAGCGGTGAAATTTTTTGAATTTTGTATTTAAATTTAAAAATTGAAAATGTGAATAAATAGTTTCAATGAAGAAAAAGGAACTTTTTTAATAATAGTTTACAGAATAACTATTTATTGTTCAAAATGTGAGGTTAATTATTCTGGCTAAACTTTTATAAAGCGTTAATTGGTATTTTTCCCCCCTCCAGTTATGTATCTGAAAATTTTTTTTCTTAGCAATTAATCTACTTTTTAAGGCTATTATGATGTGAAGTGTCCGATTTATTATTGTGAGATATTCTTTGTTTTATGAGATTAATTATAAACCCAGTAAAAGAACGAGCATTAACAGTATAAGCGCAGCTTAACCCTGTCCCGCCCCCGTAAGGGGGCATCCATAATAACAGTATAAAAGGTATTATTTTATTCAACAGAAGAATTTGCATTTTATAGATTCTTAAGACACGAGGGAAACTTTACTATTTAAGGAATGAGGAGTAATTGGTTACCAAAGAGAAGCTGCCTAACGCACCATTAAAGTTTTGGACTGTTGTATTGTAGTCTATAAAGATATGAAACATGTCATTTTTTCAATGCATTTGCAAATTTATGTGATTTAAACCTTGCAGAGTACAAATACCTTTTGTACATTATATTATATATTTATGGAAGCAGAAGTAAAATCCCTAAATGAACAATTAAAAGAAGGAATATACATGTTGTAAGCTAATTCAAAAATCGGGTCTCTTTGCCAACTGTTGACGTCATTTGTTAAGCTTTATTACCATGAACTGGTAGGTGCTTAGCAAAGTGACATCGTCAGTTTGCAGAAAGTTGAATTTTCCGATTAACTAATGACGTGTACATATTTTACCAACCTGTCTTTGTTAGGTGGTCTGATGAAAATATGCTAACTAAATACAGTGTAATCCAAAAGTGATCATCACTGTCCTAAAGTTTTAAGTATGCGTGTTAAAAATTTAAAAAATAAAATTAATGCATAACTAACAATATGTGTAGTTAATAATATCCCCCCCCCATTTTAACAAAGTAAAACCTTATTTCAAGTTTTAAATAAAATTGTTCTTAGAGTGTTTAATTTTTTTTTCAGGATAAGTTCAAGTTTCGTAATTTGTCCAAGATTTTTTTAGTGGCCTTTTTGAAAGCAAATAAAGAATCTTTTCATTTGCTTTGTTTCTGTGTCAAGCACAGTTTAATTTTTTTTATAGTATTATAAATATTTATTGTCATAAGGTATTCATTTTTAGTTTGATGCAATATAGTTTTATCCAGCTTTTACTAGTGCAAAATTAACTGTCTCCCCTGGCGACAGGGAAGCTAAATATAATATGTGTCGATTAATAAATTTCTAATTGCCATTTTTTGTCAAAAATGCATTCCATTTGCATTTTATTATTTGTATTAAAAATAGTATTATGAATACTTTATAATATCCTGAAAATTACTTTATTTCACATTTGTTTCTTATAATTTTTTTTATTTCTGAATAGATCCTTGTAATATATTTTGAGGAATGCTTGAAAAGAATGTCTTATATTAGTTAGCAATTTTTATCAAAAGTTTTCTTATTAAATCAACATTCGAAAAGCGATCACTGATAAAAATACTGTAACTGGCCAGCTGCAAAATTTCTTAATTTCATCCAATACCAAATCTTATATCTCTGAACTGTACAATCAACATGATCCTCACAAAAATTTACTTTCATTAAGTTAGTCAAAAACCTTTTTCAAGGTGCTTAAAAGAATACATTCAGTTCTTTAAATAATTTTATTTATTACTTTTCCCCATTAACTTATTTTTGTATTTGTCAACTGTGTAATATCAGAAAATATTAGGAATCTCTTTTTGTGCAAAAATAAAATTTAATGATTTAATTATTTACTATATAAGCTGCTATTATTTTTACACACTTAAAATTTTAAATGTTAAAAAAAAATATTTTTGTCATTGTAAACAGTTATTTGTGAGAGTTATTTTTTAAAAAATGATTTAGGTATGCATATTTAAAATGTATCATGGACTTTTGGATTATTCTGTATTTAGTGACTATCAAATTTTATTGTTAACTTATATAATCATGCATACAATAAAACTGGTAAATAACATATGATTATATATTTAAATCTGCCATTAACTAAAATAATCATTTCAAATCTAATTTATTAAAGTAAGTATTTAATCCATCAAATAAAAATTGATTGACATATTTTAGTTGAATATTTTCTTCATTTCATAAATAGTGATGAGTAATTTAAATCTCTAATCAGTCTTTTTGTGCATTGAAATTTCTTATTTGTAACATATAGAATGGTGATTATTAAAAAAATAATTTTTTATTCTATAATTGATAATTTGTAATTAATTTCGAACTTACTTTAAGTGAAATTCTAGTAAATGAACTATCAATAAAAACACCCAATTAGGTTCCAAGTAAATCTTAAATATTTTTTAATTGTTTCACATAATTTTATTTAGCGTTTTTAAAAACATATTTTCCTTATTTTCTAGTTTAAAAAGTTTGTTATCCATAATTTATATTGAAAAAAAAGTGTTACATTTTTATTGAGAGTATTTTTCTCTCATTAAATGTATATATTAGAATTTGAAATCTTATTAATGACTTATAGCTGAGAAAAATGAATATATTAGATGTCAACAGGTGTGTACACTATCAGTTTTTCTTCATGCCACCTTATTCACATTTTATGTATTATAATGTTTTATCTCCGTGCCATGTCCAAGTGATATCAAGGCTTTCATATTTTTGTCAAAATGCATTCAGCAAATGTATGATGCAAAAATAATGAATATTAAAAGTTATACTTTTTAAAAAAAACTACTTTTGTACATTATATTTCACCAGTTTATTGTTTTTTTTTTAATTGAATACTTATTTTTGATTTTCGTTTTTTTTAAAGCCTTTAAAAGTGCTTTTTTCATTGGGTGTTTTAAGTGCTTAATTTACTGTTTTTCAAAATGAGATTTTTCCTTTCCTATGTTGATTTTCCTATTAAATTATGCAAAAAGACACAGCTCACATTGTTCTATTCAACGTTTTCACAATTAATTCAACCCCAATCTATTTCGGTGTATTGTCAGTTCGTAGCATATGAAAATGCAATTCGTTTTACATGATTCTAAATTTCTTGATAAGTGCTTAAAAATATTTTTTGAGTGCTGGAAAAGTGCTTAAAAGATGCTTATTTTTTGTTGAATAATTTGGCTACGCACCTTGTCTAGAAAAACTATTATTAAAATCTAATTAAAGCACAATTTTTTTAATAAAATTTTTATTACTAGTTATTTTTTCTGAGAAAATATTACTTAATTATTCTTTATTGAAACATTGGAAGTATAATTTATAGAATTTACTGATATACTTTTAGTTTTTAAACAAATCCGTTCATTTTTATTTTTAAAATATTTTTATTAAAAAATAGTTGTTTTAAACTGCTCCTTTAAACTCTATATATACTCTACATATTTTTAATGTTAAAATTTGACTTAGTTAAGACTTAAGTACCAAGATTATTATTGTTCATTTATTAAATAATCTATGTAAGTTATTATTTTTTATTATAACCGACATTTAACAGCCGACCCAATTCTAAGTTTATTATTGCTATCATTGTTGAAATCGATAGCCTTGTAATTTTGAACTCAACATAGAAGACAAGGTGATTCCTGAATCAAGCATTGGGATAAACTAGCCTTCACGGAAGGCTTTTCGGTGGAACTAACCGGCATGTGCATTACATGCATGGAGAGGAAAAACCATGAAAACCTCCCATAGTTAACCTGGTGATAAATGAATATTTTAACCCACAATATGTCTACCACTGAGGATATTTTAATGTCGGCACTGTGCTCGGTGCATGCCATGAGCAGAATTCGTTTTAGTCAACCATTGCTGGGATTGTAACCTGGATTATTTTCATTGAGAGATGAATGCTCTATCCTTTGAGCTTGTGTTATTTAAAGTTATTAAAGATATTGAATATACATTGAGGGTTGTACATAGATCATTCAAGGTGTTCATTTATTTTCCAGATTGCAGAAGAAGCAGGACTAATTTATAGTATCCCCCCCCTTCCTTTTTCTTTCTTTTCTTCAAAGAATGTATTATTTTACCTTTAAACATTATTTCATTTAGAATCAAAGTGTATCAAGGTAGATTTTGAGTAATAAGTTATTCTGTTGGGTTATTAAGTGTTTTGTTTTTTTCTTGTAGTCAAGACCAATCTGTGAATGTGCATTCTAAGCAGGTTGGGTTAGTTGTAAAACAGTGTTTCCCAATTGTTATTTTTTCTTTTTTAGCAATGTTTTGTTTAAGTTTCTTAGGAGTTTTTTATACCACTTGCGTTTTTTCCACTTCTTGCTCTGCAATTGAAGGCTTAAGCGACTCAAGCTTTTCATAAAAGCTAGTTTGTCCTGTTACTTTACTAAGGAGTTCACTTGGTTTAATTTAACATTACAATGCAATGCATACATAAAATAAATTCGTGAAAAGTATGTAACCTCAATGACAACTTGTTTAGGGCACCAAAACAGCTGTCAGTTACTTGCGGGATCCAAAGTTATAAAATACTTCTACACATGTTCAAACCACTACGATATTATTAATAATAAAAAAATAAATAATAGTTACAATTATCTATTTTTGAAATAATTCTTATAAATTATAATTATATTTTTATCGTTAAATAACTATTTTTTATTAACAGTTATTTATTTACATTAAGCTGGCATATTAGCACTGTCAAATTTGTTGTATAAACATATATGCAGTTAGAATAAAATTTTGAATTTATCGTAATTTCTAAAAAGAATTTCTATAATTCTTTATTAGGAACTAAAATTTGTTGTATTCTTATCTGAATAAAATCATTGAAACCTCTCGTAAATAACTTATTTTATTCTCAAAACAGTTTTAAAATTTACAAAAAACAAACAGAGGAGAATGGGAATGATTGAATTAGTAAACAAAAATCCACCAGGCAATGAGAATGAAGACTGCTACGAAAAAGAAGCAAATAACCTCTTTAGCATAGTTGGTTGTACTGTCCTTCTTGAATCTTGTCAGTAATGTCGCCTGAAATGAAGGAGAATATTAATATTATAATCTTTCATTGTTTCTTCCTGAAAGTGTCTTGAATTAAAAAAGTTGATAAATCTTTTTATATAAATTTTTAAGTTACAAATTTATGTTTTATAGAGCAACGGTTCGCAAATAGTGTTTCGCGGAATCGTAAGGATTTGTGGAAGAGTTAAACGGGTTCCTAGAGTCAGAACTTTATTTTAAAAACATTTTTGAAACCTGCTATTGTATTTAGATTCAATAATATTCTATTATTCACCTAATATTTTGGTTACCTTTACGATATTATTTAAAATAAAATACCAATAAAAAATGGCGCATTTTTTGGGAAAAGAAATGTTATTTTTTAAAAACAATGTATTGTTAAACTATGAAAAGGACAAGCATTTATAAAATATTGTATTAGTATTTACCGTCGCACTTTTTAACCAAAATAAAATCACTAAATTGTCTTTAAAGAAATATGTTCCCATATTACTCATTTTTAAGGTTAATAGCTCTTTTTAGTTTTCATTTCAACGAAATCCATAATCCGTCTTATTTCATTCATTTTCAACTTATACACCAAAAACAAATTCATAACAAGATTAGATTCAGCTCCAGGATTGGAAATTCAACTGTCGGATAAGAAACCTAGTGCAAGATTATTAAGGATAAAACAATGAGAAAATGCCATATTTTTTATTAAATATTTTAAAACTAAAGCAGTCTCTTTATGGCTTAATATGTTCTTATATAGCTCTTACGTCGGGATTCCGTCGGAAGAATATTTATCATTTATGGTTCCATAACCGAAAAAAATTGGAAAATAGAGTTCCTGTACTTTGAATATGCTTAAAAATCCCCGTTGATAGGGGGGGAGGGTTTGCGGGAGGCATTTAAATGTCTCTTTTCATCAGTTTTTTCATAATAATAAAAGTAAAAAGGGTATAGGAAAAAATATTTTTCGTACAAAATAAAATATATGAAATATTTTCCTAAAAAAAAAAGTTTAAAATAAATAATCTGAATAAAATGCACAATTTTGTACCAAGATATTAAACATTATTTGTAGTTTAATTGTTGAGAAAAGAATGGAGGAAGAGTGAAAAAAGACAAATTTCTGAAAATTCGTGTGTCATTCCGGAAGACGTATGAATAACAATAAAAATGACAGTCTTAAAATTCGTAAAAGAATTCTCGAATAAAATGCGTAGTCTGAAATGATGCGACCTTTTTGTGGGGCAAAATGAAAATCCTTTTCATCTGTATCACTTGGCACTTCTTCAGCTTTTACAGCCGTTTCTTAAACACCACAGGTTTCAAAAATTTTCATAAATTGTTGCATAAACATCAAATGTCCCGTTTGAGACGTTTACACTAACTATAACAAGTCCTCATTTTCTTCATTATTAGCATCAGGACACTTCTGAAAGTGAAATTACTCCGATATTTTATTTCGGCAGAATTTCTGAACGATAGATACATGAATTCTCTGGTTTCAAAAACGATCTAAACGGGTATTTATTAACATTATAAATTATAAGAATAACATTTGTGACGAGACCGTTAAATCAAGACGATACATACTGAAAAACGAAAGATGCGGGTACGAGGGATCGAGGATCTGAATTAGATGGTATAAAATCTTGAAAGAGCAGGTTTTAATATAGTTCACCCTCCATGTAACCATGCGTAGTATATTATTAAAAGAATGAATTATGCATAATATATTCTTTCAAAAGTATATATTATGCATAATATATTCTGTCAAAAGTATATATTATGCAGTAATATTTTTTAGATTATTGTTTTAAAATTGTTATTTACTTACTGAACATTGAAATTCTTCATATAATTATAGGATCAAAACGGCAAGCATAAATTACATCGGAAATTTAAAACTATTTCATTTGCAAATTTTTGCTAATCTTGAATTCATTTTCAATCAAACCACCAGCTCGAATCTTTACATATTGAAACAAAGGAAATATATTTTTCTTACGAGTTGCGTTTGTAGAATAAACGAATTAAAATCAGATTATCTCTTTGTTTTTCTCTGTCTAAAAATGTTCGTTAGTTTCTGTTATTAAATGCTTAATTGCGAGATTTTTAATACGTATCCTTTTCCACAAAAGTCTTTCTTTTCCAAATGACTTCGAATTGAAATAAATTTTCTAAGAGGGAGCATCCTGCTTAGTAAACTTCTCGGACCTTCAGCTTACATCGATTTTCGCATAAGGGGAGAGATGAGAAATGTTCCACCCCCATGAAAATCGATGGACACCAGAATATTTTCTTTTGGAACTCCGAAACCGTAAACTATTTTCGGAATAAAAACATGTTTGTCGGTCCCTTGTTTGGGAAGAAAATACATCGAGTGTCATTATTATTTTTTCTTTTTTTTCCGCATTCTTTTTTCTAGGACAAATGTCAAATTATTTCAGAATTTATTCGTACGAATGAATTCTAAATTCACATGAAATAATTCGTTAGAATGAACAGGAATGCGAGGATTTATTTCGCGTAACGGTATAACATAATAATAATTGAGTGCTTTTAAAAATGAATTTGTTCAGTGATACGTTAATTTCAATTAATTTTATTTCCTAAATGTCAGCAAAGCTTCTTCTGATATTTGTCATATTTTGCTTTTGCTTCTTTGAGTTAAATTTCAGGTATGATTAGAACAAATTCAAGAGCAAAAGTCATTTTGCATAAACACCATCGACGAAATATAAATGCTTTGTTTTTTCCCTCAAAAAGAAGTTTAAAAATGCTTTATTAACAATTTTAACAGAGAGTTATTATTTAATTTCTTGTTAAGTTCGTAATATAGATTTACATGTATAATGTTGTACTTCAATTCGAAACTTTAAAGGTAAGAGAGGAAAAAAAAACATGTTCGGAGTTTGCTAAATTAAAATAAAATAAATATGTTTCCCTAATAAACATTTTAAGCGTTTATGGCATTTTTTTAAAATTTTCATTTCGAGGTAAACCATAATTCGGATTATATTATTCATTTTCAGCTTATGTACAGTGCAGACTAAGTTATGAAATCAGAAACAAAAATCATTTTCTCAAAATAAACATACCTTTTTTTTGTTGACGAATTTGGATTTTTGACCACCAAAATATAGGGGGTTGCCGCAATCTGGGAAATACGGTCCCAACAGTTTGGACCCTTTAATGTCAATTTTGCTTTTTACATATTCCGCCATATCTCGAGAACTTTTGTAGCGAATTGAAAAGTTTTTACACTCAATTATAAAATTTGTTTATCCAAAGATAATTCCATGTAAAAAATAACTTTTAATGAATATTTATAATTTTTCATTATTTATTTAATATTAGTCGAAAAAATTCATTATTGTAAGGCATCAAATTTTTTACATCATTTTAAAGAATAGATTAAAACTACCAGCAAAGATTAAAATTATTGTGAGATCGGTAAAATAGTTCGAATTTTTAATCTACGCCTTTTTTTGCTTAAGAATTTCTCGAGATATGGCAAAATACGCAAAAAGTAAAATTAACAACATTAAGACCAAAATTTGGACTGCTCTCTTGACCTAACTATTGGGACAATATTTCCCAGATTGTGGTTATCAACTGTATTTTGAGGATCCGAAATCTGAATCCGTCGAGAAAAACGTATGTTTATTCAGAGAAAGTACGTTTTGGCGTCTGATTTCGTATATTAAAATATCGTCTACTGAAATTAATTAGCATATTTGAGGTCACCCCTTTGAATCATTAAGAATGATTCCTAGAACTTACGTTTTATTTTTCTAACTATAATATTGATCAAAATAACTCAGGCTGGTAAAAACAACTATAAAACATGTGAATAGAATTTGTTGCCACGCATATGTTAATGTGGTTGGTAATGTATGTAGTTGCTCAAATTCACTCTAGTTTCACAAACTTGCTGCAATACTGATGTAATTCATTTTTCTTCAAAAATGATATAACTACTAAATATCAATTTTGTATAATGCAAACTATCTTTCATTAAAAAAAACTTTATTTTTAAATTTAACTTCTGTGTCAAGCGGCTCAAAAATTATACATACCCAAATAACTGTTCGGAATTTTTTATCTTTTAGTGCAAAGATTTTTACAGGCATCAATATATTTAACAATTTCAATAAAAATTATTTTTGCTTCTTGTCCCTGTATAATTAGCTGATATGTAAAAGAAAAATATGTTACTGCAATAATTCCGATTCAGAATATTGTACGTATTTATTATATTCGAAAAATCCTTTTAACGTTTTTATTATTCGTAGGCTTAGTTGTGATATGAAATAGTACTTTTTTTAATCGAATAATTTGATATTTCTATGGCTATTGGGAGTTTATAATTATTATTCATGACTTGTTTGGTTTAAGTTTTTCCGTCAGTCAGTTCATCCAACGTAAGAAGACGAGTGACCTTCAGAGAATTCACTTCAACATGGGGGTATCCTGTTGAAGAAACGTCATTGCTGTGAAGCTTTTTACCCGTCTACTATAAACTTCATTAAACTCAGCCCCTATTTTAACTATAGATACGTACTATGATTTTGCTTTCATTCGTCTTTTATTGTGGATGGGATGTATGCTAATTATAATTTATTTCATTACCGTCGTTGAACAGCCAACACATTTTTTATTTTATGGCAACCAATTTTCAACGCCGCAGCCTAGTAATTTTTAACCCAATCTAGAAGACAAGGGAACTCCAGGATCAAGTTTTGGGAGAAATTTTGCCTTCGTGGATAACTTTTTGATGTAACTAGCCCTTATATGCGTTACACAGATAAGAAAACCGCGAAAACCTCCCACGGTTAGTCGGGAGGCAAGGGGACTCTAACCTGTGATTTGTCTACCACTGAGGATAGTTTACGTCAGCATTATGGTCGGTGCGAGCCGGGTGTGGAATTCGTATTTATCAGCCATCGCTGGGATTCGAACCCGATTCACCACTTTGGGAAGAGGATGCTCCTTCCCCCGAGCCACCACGGCTG